TACGGTGATCACCCTCCAACAAACACCTGGAAGGGAATGCTGTCGTTCCCGCGCACACTGGAGCTTCAACAGTTTAATGGCAAGCTGCGATTCCTGCAACTGCCCGTGAACGAGGTCAGCGCGTACACGTGGCTCGTTGCGAATATCACGAATCAAACCATTGCCCCTGGCCAGACGTTGCTTTCCAACATCCATTCCCGGACACTCGATATAAAGATGTCCTTCACCCCTTCCCCTGGTTCTACGCTCTCTCTCGCTGTTCGGAAGGCAGGGTCTCAACAGACTCTCATCAGGTATGAGCAGAGTTCTAAGCAACTCTCGGTTGATCGCAATACCAGTGGGAATATCTCGTATGATTCCGCAGCTGCGGGTGTCCACACTGCTACTGTGCAGCCTGATGCAAACGGGGAGATGCAATTGCGTGTCTTGGTCGATGTATGCTCTCTTGAAGTCTTTGGGGGACAAGGGGAGGCGGTTATTTCGAACTTGATCTTCCCTGACGTGTCCGCTGATGGTGTATCTCTGGAGGTGTCTGGGGGAAGTGTGGCTTTGCGGTCGGTGGAGGTGCGGGAGGTCCTCCTGTGAGCTGGCAAGTACTAGGCGAGATGTTTACGCTGTCATCCCCGTGAAACACGGTCCCTGTCCCTCACATGTACTTGCTTTCTTTGTCTCTTGGTCTGGCTTCACTAGGGCAGGGCAGTGCGAGGAATTACTTGTAGTGGACCTAGGTAGAAGGGCGAAATATGTTGTGTTGATCCGACGGAACGTTGGAAGCAGTGTTCAAAATCCATAAAGAATAATAAGAGTAATAATAAAGATAACCGTATTTGCCAACATTATTTATCAGTCCTTCGCCACTTGCAGACGTGAATTCAAAGTACGTTGCAATAGCTCGAGCGAAGGACTACCCTGTATACCTTTCCAGTCCACCGCTACAGCCGACGCAAGACATTCGCGTATCTGATCACGGCTGGCACCGGCGAGACAGGGGGCACCCGCCACTTTGAGGGCAGCCATCGTGGTGGTGAAGAAACTGGTGCTGAGTAAGCCTCTAGAATCCAACAGGTCTGAAACGCGACTTACCTGACGGAAAGCGTCCATTTGTATATTAAGCAATCGTCAACCGCAAACGCGATCCGCGGCAGAAGCTGAACATAAGAGTCGATAAACCGCTGGCAATGATCCAGGAGCTGTGTGCTTGCGCCATTATCCTGTACAGCCTGATAGATGGCAGGCCAATAAATTGATATTTTGCAGCAGTAATACTGGACATTAAGGAAATTCGACAGCGAACCGAACCGGTCAGCGCATAGCTGGTCAGGCGCTCTAGCGAACCGGATGTTCGTGGGGAGGTATTCGTACCACTCGTCCAGTTGTCTTTCGAGTTCGAGAGCGATACTGGGTGCGTAGTTGGGCCGGCCATCTGGCGAGCGCGTGACGGCCGAGTTACAGCGGTGGAGCATGCGGCGCATGGCGATCTCCGCGAGGAAGAACGATTGTGCCTGGTCTGCTGTTGTGCTCGTGCTGTCTGTGGAGTGGACGCTTACTGGGGAGACACCAACGAGAGAACTGGGTGCCTGTGGGGTTGGGAATTGCCAGGTGCGGCGGCAGTTGGGAAGTGGGATATACTCGTCTAGGTTCCAGATGTCGCTTTTGGCGACGTCGAGCTGGACGCTGAGTTCGCTAGGCGGGGTTAGTATGTACGGTGCGGTAGGGACTTGTCTAGATGAACTTGCTTCTCCAGCAATAATATCGCCCAGTATGCTCTGTGCGTCAATTCGAGGGTGTCATCATCCGAACTCTGGAGCCAACTGGTAATCATTAGCCTGTAATGTTTTACTGCAAAGAATAGGACAACCTTTTGAAGAGATTCTGAATTTTAAAGGACGCTATCAAACAGTGGTCGTGGGCCTGGCAGGGCTTAAGGAGGCAGCAGTAATATATGCTCAAGAAGATCAGGCATTGTATGCTCGTCAACGTGCATTCTGCAAGGACGACTGGTAGCGATGCGAGAGCTGCTTCAAAGTAGGGACTTCCAGTCGTGGGATCCTGCGCAACACAGCCGATTGCAGCCACTAGTAGAGCGAGGAATGTCTGGCACGAGGGTGCTAGAGGTCCCGACAAGATAGAAAAATACGTCTCAGAAAAGTCGAGAGGAAGTATGGGGTAATAGGCATGGACTCGATCCGAGAAAGCCGCCAATGCGTCTGTGATTTGCTGGTGCGATATGAAGAACACCCGCGATGGAGTGGTCGTGCCGACTAGGAGATTCGCCCGCTCTAGCTGGACAAGGCCGCGAGCATAGCGATCGTCGAGGTCTAGTACACGCATGATAGAGTCTGTGGCCAGCAACCTAAATGGCGAGTCCTCATGCGAGCCCAGCGCACTGGTAGACGGTTGTTGTGGCTCCACTAATGGTTGAGACTGCTTGGACAGCAGCATGGTGAGGTAGTCTAAGCGCTGGTTGACATTGGCTAGTTCGGTTTCTACTCTGCAAATACTTAGCTCGGGCTACAAAAGGTCCCAAGGCAGTGGGCGAAGCGTACTTGGTGGCGGGGCTTTCTGGAAGCTGCTGATAGAAGCAGTCTAGCCCACGAGTGCGACAGGGAGTGCAGTACGGTCGCTGACCATCGCACTTTACCCGTCGCGACCTGCATGTATCACAGGCGAGGGCCAATCTTTTCCGTGTCTTGGCCATGTTTGATGCTGTCGGCATGGTGTCGGGAAGTCTGCAGGTCGTGAAGAGAGCGCGGAGTCGGTTCAAATACCGCGGGGTAAGACGTTCCGTGGGTCCAACCCCGCGTTCAATTTTACACGCGGAGAGACGCGGAGTGCGTCACCGAGTCCGCGTGCATCTCTAGAAGCGATGGAAATACATCTACAGGATGATATAAGTGCTTCTCGATGGTCGTTTCATCGGTCACAAACACACCTCTGGAAACAGACGGCTACGTACCGCCAACATGAGTTCTGCCCTTGGAAGCCACCTCCTCGCCGACGTCACCAAAAGAAAGGTCGCTCGCAGCGCTCGTGTTGCCAGCTGGGACCAGAGCGGACTCAACGAAGATGCATTTGTCCTCTTGCCCGGTGAAACCGCTGTGCTCGCCGATCTCCAGGGCCCTGGTGCAATTACGCACCTGTGGTTTGTGCAAACCTGCCGCAAGATCCTGGGACCGGGCCTGATCCCGTACTCCAAGTCCGGGGTGGCCATGATGGAGATCCATAACGCACTCGGTCTGAATTATGAAATCAGTGATCCCGACTACTACCGTAAAGTCCTCATCAAGATGTACTGGGATGATTCCGAGAGTCCGAACGTCCTGGCGCCGATCGGGGATTTTTTCTGCCTCGGCCACTCGATGGCTGCGAACTTCCAGTCACTCCCTTTCACAGTCTCCGTGAAACCGTCGGAGGAAAAGCAGTTTGGTGGTGCCGCAGCCTTCAACTGCTACCTGACAATGCCCTTCAACAAGCGTGCGCGTATCGAGATCGAGAACCAAAACGACGAAGCCTACATCCAGTACTTCTACATTGATTACGAACTCTACCCTGAGCCGCTCCCGAAGGACACGCTGTACTTCCACGCTCACTGGCGTCGCGAGAACCCAACGAACGGCTGGGCCCCGTCCGGCATTCAGACCAACAGCCTCGAGACTCAGGTGAAGAACCTCGACGGGAAGAGCAACTACGTCATTCTCGAAACGGAAGGCGCAGGCCAGTACATCGGCTGCAACCACTCCGTCTGGCACGAGCAGGGAACATGGTGGGGCGAAGGTGACGATATGATCTTCATCGACGACGACACCTGGCCGCCGAGCATGCACGGCACCGGCGGCGAAGACTACTTCTCGCAGGGCTGGGGCATGCAGAAGAACGCCTATCCCTTCTGCGGCACCATTATCCACGAGGACGACGTGCCCAACACCCAAGTGAGCTATCGCTGGCATCTCACTGATCCGGTCCGCTTCAGCAAGAATATCAAGGTCACCTTGGAATCCGGCCATGCGAACCACCTCCGGGACGATTGGTCGACCACCGCGTATTGGTATCAAACCTTGCCCGGGCCAAAGTTGGACATTTTGCCTGTGGAGGAGCGACTTCCCCGGAGGCCAACAATGCAACCGATTCCGGAACCGAGTGAGAGGGAAATCGCCGCGCTGGGCGCAGAGAAGAAGGAAAAGCTAGCACAGCACCGGGAGAGATATGAGGCGTTCGTGAGGGATCGGAACGAATGGTTGGAGCGGCGGGCGAAGGATTCGAGGCAACGGGCGCTGAACAATGTTCAGATCTGTGAGGATATCCGTCAGCGGTTCTTGAACAGTCTCAAGGAGTAGATGTTTCCGCGTGTGCCAGCGCATTATGTAGGTGTGACATCAGAAATATGAAGTTTATGATATGACTACTCTGAGCCAGTAAATTTACGCATCTGCGAGACCTCGAAGAGCAAAATGGTATCGACTTGCAAACCAGAAAGCCCTGTAGTGGTGATTTTGTTGATATGGATGGCTGTAAGTTGATAATAATGGACGTGTTTGTGAAGAGTTCCCGGGTACATGGTTGTAAAATTCGCGAGTACTACAGGGCTCGTCCCTTTCCTCGCCAAGCTAGGCAGAGAATGCGGGTTCTGCCCACTTCCCCCATCGGCCCAGAACAAAGATTCATTGGCAGCGGCCTGACACCCCGAGGCCCACTCGCCGCAAACCAATGAGTCCAATTCGGCAAATCCCCCCGATTTTAGACTTCGGTGAGGAAACCTTTCTCATGCCCCGGACCGATTTCATCGCGGAGAAGAAGCACGACTCCGCGGGAGACTTTTGCGCGAGTCAGCCTGTTAGCAGGGAACTTTCATCCTATCTTAGTCAACTCTCCTCAACTTCACACCCCCAGGCTCTCTACCCCAGGATGATTGTACCCCGCGTTTTGTGACACTTATAATACTCCACTTGCACGTCTCCGATCAATTGTCTATCAACACCTCGTTACTGTTCTCTCGAAGCAAGATGGCGAATACTGCCGACGCCCGGATTGACGGGTAAGTCTACCATCTGTCCCACCATGCTCTCCGAGAGAGATTAACCAGCACAGGGTTGACTACTCCAACATCGACTCGAGTCAAAGATGGCGGATGCTCAAGTCGCAGAAGCGATTCTTCTTTTGGTGTGGGTCCACACTAGTTTGCAAACTAGCAAGTTGGTAACAGGAATGGTTTTGTTAGGCCTCTGGGTATCCAGCGGGGTCATCATGCAAGGCTTCGATATAGTCGCAGGAGGCCAACTGGCTGCTCTCCCGGAATTCCAAAAACAATTCGGACGTCTGCAGCCGGACGGTTCGCATATTATCCCTGCTCACTATCTGTCTGCGTGGAATTCCATTGCTCCCGCCTGCGAGATCGCGTCGACTTTTATCTATGCACCATTACTGGAGAAGTATGGCCGTAAGCCCGGCATCTTAGTTGCCTCTGCGATCTCTGTCGCAGGGGTTCTCCTACAGCAGCTGGCGACGGACTGGAGGGTTCATCTGGCTGGTCGAGGGGTTAACGGTCGGTTTGTTCTGGTCTTCTTGACTTACAATACTGAACAAATGCAGGTATTGCGATTGGTATGATGTTCACTATTTCGCCGCTGTGGATAGGAGAGACGTGTCGGCCCGAACTTCGAGGTTTCTTTCTTTGCTTCTTCAATACAAGTATTGTCTTCGGACAGTTCGCTATGTGAGTATTTTCTGTGGGCCAGCCTATAGATCACCTGCTAATTTATGTGCAGTGCCGCAGTGTCTAGAGGAAGCAGCTACCTTGATGGCAAATGGTGAGTCACTCCATGATACCCTCTATATCACTTCATAAATTGTAACCGCCACAACAGGCAATGGTGGCTCCCAGTTGTTGGGATGTATATCTTTCCAGGTAAGAGTCCCATTCTGCTCCGACTGTACAGTAGCTCACATCCCAGCTATTCTCGCATCTGGCTGGCTATTCTTCCCCGAGTCTCCATACTGGCTGGTTAGACAAGGAAAGACCACGCAAGCCCAAGATTCCCTCCGGCGAGTCTACGGGTTCAAAGACGACGCCTTCTACAATGTAGAAGTCCGTCGCATGGAAACAGAGAATAATCAAGCCCTCGCCATCCGGAGCACTTTCGCGCAGTCCAGCCGCCGCACGTTCCTCGGCCTCGACCTCTCCGCCGAAGCCGAGTGCTTCGACCGCATGAACCGCAAGCGCACCCTAACCGCCATCTTCGCCGCCAGCGGCCAGCAAATGATAGGCGCGACTTTCGTCATTGGGTACGCGACCTACTTCCTCGACCTCATCGGGGTGAAGGACTACTTCGATGCGTCGATCGTCCTCTACGTTGTAATGCTACTAGCCAGTATGGCCGCCTTCCCACTGACCGAAATCATCGGCCGACGGACCATGATCGTAATCCCGCAGTTCGTGCTATGCTGCATGCTCCTGCTGATCGGGATCTTGGGGTGCGTTCACGATCATGGAAAGGCAAGTTGGGGGATTATCGTCTTCATCTATATTTGGGCGATTATATACCAGCTGTCTATTGGTGCCGTTGGGTTTGTGCTGGCGTCGGAAATTGCCACCGTTCGGTTACGGAGCACGACACAGGGTCTTGTGACGATCACTAATGCGGCTTGGGGGCTTATTATGCAGTTCACGATTCCGTATATGGTATGTTCCAGCCACCCACTCTGAATTTGATATCTCGCTGACTTCCTCGTCCTGGAGATCAACCCTGACGCCGGCAATCTCGGTGGCAAGGTTGGATTCATCTTCCTTGGAACAGGCCTTATCGCAGCCATCGGCGGATGGTATTTGTATCCGGAGACTAAGGTGCGTAGTCCGATAAGCGCAAGCAACACGAATACCCAAGTTGACTGTCATAGGGCATATCGTTTGAAGCCATGGACGAACTCTACGCGAGCGGAACAGCGCCTCGACACTTTTCCGCAGTGAGCGAGCAGCAGAGAGGCATCCCTTTGGAGTCCAAGACTGAGCCTCCGGTTCATATGGAGGATGTGAGTGTTTAAGCGTCATGCTTGATCTGGCACATTTTAGGCGTGTTTAATGAGTAATTGTGACGAATTTCTTGATTCCGCGTGGGACATCAGGCTGCGCGTGACAAGGAGCAAACATATATCGGTGTCTGAGGCCGTCAGCTTATGTTGAAAATACAAATAATTATGCTCCAACATTTCGCTAAACTGCCCATATAATATTATAAAGGCTAGCTAGACCGTGTACAGCCGTGTGCAAATGTTTTTTACATTTTCATATTGAGTTTGCTGGTGAAGGCGAGGGAATCCACTCTAGCAGCCCTCTTTCAGAATGGACAACTCCACGGAGTCACCCGACTACAGCAGCTCCAAGGACATTGATCAATTTAGATCGTCTGGATGAAAGGCCTCATAGCAAAACACTGCTTACTTTTTATATAAGCGTATCCTTGGCATTCGGCAACATAGACCCAGTCTCGTCAAACATATATCTATCCAGCTGCTTCATATAGACGACTGTCAACAAATCGGAGCTTTCAACAACCAGTATCTATTCCATCTTCCTCTCCGGACTAATCTCTACCCATATGCAGCTGCCCACACCGCCATAATAGAAATTGGGTACGCACCATCGCATATAACAGACACATACACGACACAAGATAAATCCCTAGAACAATCCCTTCCCACAATCCACTTCATATATTGTTCGGACAGAAGTTAGAATCCTCCTCACGCCCCAACCCCAACCTCCCGATGCTCCGCAACACCCCCCTTCTCCTCAATCTCAATCTCACCGGCCAAACCACCCGCCCCAATGACACCCTCCTTGCCTTCCCCCCCTCTAATTACCCCCGCAATATCCCCCGCAAAACCCTCCCTGGGCCTCCACCCCACACTCCTCCTCGCACTGCTCACCTCAAAATAAAGCTCATCCACTTGCTCCAGTGTAAGCCCCTTCGTCTCATATATCATAAAGTACACAAACCCGATACAGAGGAAGCAGCACCCGAACCAGATGAAGAAGATCTTCGACTGCAGGTTTGCGTTGCCTTCGCCGTAGTTCACTAGGTATGGGGTTGCGAAGCTCAATGCCCAGTTTAGGAGCCAGTTTGTGGCGGTTGTCATCGAGAGGGATTTTGCGCGGGTTTTCAGGGGGAAGATTTCGCCTGTTACGACCCTGTTGGAGCATGGTGTTAGAAGGGGGGGGATAGTCGAGGTGAGGGGGTTGGGGGATGATGGTTTTATAGAGGAGGGAGGAAGACATACCAGGCAATCGGCCCCCACGAAGCCGCAAAGAAGAAGATATAAAGACAGATAAACGCAATAGCCGCCTTCTGCGCCGCGTCATTATGCACGATAATATTTCCCTGCGCGTCCTGCCCCGTGGTCGTGGTTCCAAGAACAGCAACAAGAAGCTGCGAAACGGCCATACCAACTGCACCAAGCAGCAAAACGGGCCGCCTTCCCCACTTGTCAATCGCGTACAACCCGGGGATAGTCGATCCCACATTCACACAGTTCGTAATAAGCGTGATGACAAACTCATTTTTGAATCCAGAGTTCTTGAAGAACTGCGTCCCATAGTAGAAAATGAAATTAATCCCCGTGAGCTGCTGCAGCGCTTGCAGGAGACACCCCGTCACAAGTCGCTTGAGCAGATTCCCGCGGAAACAATCGATGTACCCGGATTTCCCGAGCGAAACTTCGAACTGGTGGTTCGCTTGGATCTCTGAGAGTTCTTGGCGGATCGACTCGTGGTCTTCGGGGAGGCGCCGCAGTTTCGAGAGGCTGCGCGCGGCGGCTTTCATATCATCGCGTTTGACCAGGTACCGTGGGGTTTCCGGGAGGATAAGCATGCCCACGACGAGGTTGATGGACCAGGCGAATTGCACGGCGATCGGAATACGGTAGGAGCCTGTGTCGTTGCGGTGGTGCGTTGCGTTGTTGATGAGGGAGGCGAGGAGGAGGCCGACGGTGATGGCGAACTGGTAGGAGCCCACGATGAATCCTCGGATCCATTTGGGGGCCGTCTCGGATTGGTAAAGGGGGACTGGACGGACCGCAGTTGTTAGTACTTTAGCTGTTTTTTGGTGTACCTGTTCCTGGGGTGAGTCAGGGGAGCGGCTCACCCAGTGCAGAAATAAGACCAACGCCCAGCCCAGCGAAGAAGCGGCCTGCGAGGAACGGTGGGATGGAGGTTGCGATGGTTTGTAGGATAACTCCGAGGACGAAGACACCATTCGACGCGATGAGGCCCCAACGACGTCCGATGATGTCGCCCATGGGGGCGGCACCAAGGGCACCGAAGAAGGTCCCGCCAGAGAGGATGGAGACAATAGCAGACGACTGGCTGGACGTGACGTTCAGCTGGCCGGTGCTGTCCCGATATCCCGTCGAGAAGGTGGTAGCCCAGTACGGCATCGCAAGGATTCCACTGATCGTGCCAGTGTCATAGCTAGACGACAGAATCATAAGATCAACAACAGGCGTAAGACCTCGAAGATGGGTCCAGACACTCAACTGACCCGAATAGAATCCCGCCAAATGCAACAAATCCACTTATCACAATAGCCGGCCATGCCGAGCCCGCTGTACCTTCGGGCTTTTTGAAAAGAAACCCCATTGTGAGGACGTCAATCTCAGGGATTACAGACTTGGATGCTGACTAGACTACAGCTCGACTTTCTCTCTGATGTTCACGAAGACAGACAAAATGTCGCCTTTATGTATACGATGAGCTACCCTCGCAGAGGGTTGTGTCTATCCTAGTTCCTTAGATGATTGCGCCCGACTGTGGTTCCAATGCAACTTTCACCCAGTTGGTTTAGTTCGTCGTGACAGTCTAGCGGAAGTATGGGGACTGCTCCGCGAGATGTCCCTCATGTCGGCCCCGACCCCAGTCGGGCGCAACCCGAATTACAAATGCCCGTAGTAGTAGTAGTAGTAGTAGTAGTAGTAGTAGTAGTAGTAGTAGTAGTAGTAGTAGTAGTAGTAGTAGTAGTGGCCATGACTGGAAAGAATCACACGATGTTAATTATCCGGAGATTGCGTGGCTCGATTGACAGGGCTTCGCCGTCGTTGACAGTATAAAAAGTGATCCGTGTATTATGAACGCCTACCAAGTCCCGACAACTATAATAAGAATTCTATATACGTCTAACTAGGTTTATACACTGTACTCTCTCCTTCAATATAGCCCCCATATCTGCTAGCGACGGGCTAACCTCCGTAACCCCCTCAAACATGTTGACTGCAATTTCTAGGCCCTTGTCGACCCCCTGAGCGACAACTGGTACCAGACACGGTTCCGTCAGCGCCACCAGGGTCGCCATCGAAATCGTAAATACACTAGATGCGGGGCACCGGCCAGCGGATCAGTCCAAAGGCGCTACGGCTCCGCAAGCTTACGGACTAAGTCCAACTTACCTTGTACACAGAGTCCACAGATTCGGCCTACACGCAGCAACTGCCGCAGCAGCACTCGGAACAAACTCGGCATAGCTACTAAAGAACCTTGCACAGTGGCAAAGAAGGTCCCCGTTCGCCTCCCCCGTGGTAAGAACCTCGTAGACCGCTGGCCAATAAATCGACGCCCTGAAGGCATAATACTGCGTGTGCAAAAACTCCCCCTGCGGCGAACTCGAAAGGGGATTCTGCCGCGGGTGATATCCGATGTCCAGCGCCCCACGGAAGGATAATGTCTCCGGGAGCAACTGGAGCCATTTGTCTAACTGGCGCTCTAGTTCGGCTGCGACAATCGGCGCGTAGACGTATTTGCCTTGCCCGAGTGTGCTCGTTGCCCATGTGCAGCGCTGCAGCATTTTCCGCATCGCGATCTCCGCGACGAAGTATGACGCGTCGGTGTATCGGGGATATATCTCGCTCCCGCGGGAATCTGATGCCGGAGAGCCGTACGATTGGTTTACGTGCCAACTCCATGTGCCTGAGGCTGTTGGGGCAGGTGCGAACGGAGTCATATTCCAGATCCCACTATCGACGAGGTCTAGCTGGACTCTGATCTCGCTATAAACCTGTCAGCTTCTCCGACCTTTTCTCTATTGCTTGAGGCTCGACCTTTCAATCAGTACTGCTGCCCAGAAGCAGTTTCCGAGAATTGACGCCGGATCACCCCCGGTGTCTAGTTCACTGAGTCACACAATTATCAACACACATTTCCATTCAACCTTGCATTGGAGAGATTCTGCTCACTTCATGATATAGGTTTGCAGTTTAGATGACGCCATTGCCACAAAATCATGAGCCTGACACGGCTGCGCATCGCATAGGTAGTATATAGCGAACAGGAGCAGGGATTGCACGCTGCGAGGGCTACCGTCAGAAAAGACGCAGGGAAGCATCTCCATGGCCGCTTGGATATACGTTGCATCCGGGCGAGTCTGGAGAGCATCGACGCCATTCTCGCATCCCACCATACAACCAATGGCCAAGACGAGGAGTGTCATGCAGGATGACACCGACGACGGAAAACACGACGTTACTGCCAGGACAAAGTCATCGGCATACTCCGCATGCAGGATCGGGTACCAGGTATGAATCTGCTCCGTGAACGCATTCAAAAGACTATGTTGAGAGAACCAAGTCAGACTTTGTGTGACAAGGATACAGAACGAAAGTAGGACACGGACTCACATACATCGATGCTTCGTCGAGGTCTATCATCAGGATCCCGCCCTGTAATGACTGAGCAGGGACCGTTTGCCTTCCGCGCTCTGTGTGCTCGAGATAGACAGGCAGGGATGTATCAAGGCCAAGCAACTTCATAAATGCTCCACTCTGGAGTATCATATACGGAAAACCCAAAGACGTTTCACCGGCTGTAACAGGAGAGCTTTGTCGGCTGTTGTGGAAGTGAGACTTTGGTGAAACCTGACCCTGTACTATTGCCGTGATGTGGTCCAGTTGGCCCCATAACCTTGAAAGCTCCGCTCTCAGCCTAGATAAAATCAGAAAACTACACCATGGCTCTGCATCAGCATGTCACTTACGGAGAAGGTGGAAGATCTTGCGGCTCCTGGTAGAGGCACTCTTTCCCTCGCTCAGCACAGAAAGAACACTTGGGCCGCTGACCATCGCATTTTGTCCGTCTCTCCCGACATGTATTGCATGCCAGCGCACTCCGGCGTCTCCGCTTGTCATGGTTTGCGAGGGCATTGGAATCCATTGTCAGCTCCCACGCCTGTGGCCCAGTATCTCAGGGATGTTTGCAGTCCATGATAAAAACCAGTTCTGCTGGGATGCCGGGGCAGTTTACCTGCCCAACGTTCAGTCTCGAAGAAGCAAGAAATAAATGAGCAAGGCCTCTCCCCTCTGCAGGGGATGAGCTCCGCTATCATACCCCAGAAGCCCAATGGTTCTTTGCGCAATGTGCCCCTGGTTGCTTTGCCCCGTGGCACGACGCTTCCAGAACACAAGAAGAACAATTCTAATCGGTTCATTGCGGGGAAGAGCTAGTAGGGTAAGACTAGCCGTCGAATGAGCTTCGAGAATCTCCACATGACGGCTTAGGGCACAAGTAGACTTCCACTCTATACCGGATGGAGACCGTGGCCGGCCACTGAAACGGCAGCGTCCCATGAGCCATCGGGCAATGAGGACCGGGGGAAGGGCGTGATGTGACAGCCCTCGCTCGGATGCAGCTGTCCATGATAACCTCTTACTTAAATAGGACTGGCAGATAGGTGCCTTTGATTGAGTGATTAGGTAGGGGGTCTGTAACACCTCCTACTTTCCGGAGAAGAGGCCTCCGAAGAGTGGCCCGTGCCTACCGTCGAGTTCCGGTCGGGAGACTGATTGTCCTCTCTCACTTCGCATATCTCGCTCCGTGTTGTGGGAGCTGCAATTTCTTCCGGTGCCGGTGACCGAATTTGGTTCTAAACTAGTAGAAAGTGGACTTCAAGGGCAGGCGAGCCTGTTCGCATTTTGTTGCAATAGTCCCCACAAGGCACGTATTTACTGCGTAATCTATAGCTGATCAACTTGTCCTGCTTCTACTTCTAAGATCACGCTACTTGCAAGGTATTGAATGGAAAAGATATCCCCCCCATCTATACACAGTGATATTGCCAATTACAGTACTCCAATCACGCAATATGTACAGCACTGACTCGATCTTTCAGAGAAACATCGTCCCGATTGTTACGCGCACCAAGCTCCTCAGAGAACGTTGGGTGGTCCCTAAAGTCTAACGGCCCTCAGGTGATTAGAACCTAAGTCTAAAAATGCCTTTCGAAAGAAGGGAGATTGAGATGAAGCTAACCTAATGTATGAATTAGGCCCATTCCATTCCTTGCAAGCCATCGAGCACTAAGTTTATCGAGCGCAGTTTTGAAGTCGTCGAGGATAATCGTATCACAAAGACACTTGAACATGAAGCAAAGCTGCGAATAAAGCGAACACGTTAACAGAGATCTCAAGATGAACCGTTCGGCTTTTACTAGAGGTAATAGGAGTTTGAGCGCACCTTCCAGAAAGGGTTTATACCGAGCGGCATGGCAGATTGGAGTGCTCCAGTCACACTGAGGACATCTAGAACGATGAACACGATGGACAGACACATTGAGGCGAGCATGAGTCCAAAACGGGGACATTCACGAACCAGCTCAAAGATACCAAAGCCGTAGTGTTTCTTGACGACCCAGAAGAGATTGCATGTTGTGTAGATCCACCAGGGGTCGCTGGGCAGATCCAGTTAGTCTTGGCATCGCCACTCGGTAGATAAGACCAACAGGGTAGTATCATACCGAAATAATGCCTCCCATGGGCGGATCTTCTCGTAAACAATAGGATTGATGTTGTTGAAGTAGGCAAAGTTGGCGTAGATCTCGGTCGCCCAGTATGGCTGTGCCAGGATGATAGTGCCGACGTAGAAAAGAGACAGCTTGCGACCCATGAACGGTCTGTTCTTCATCCAAGCAATGACATTGTGGAGAGACCAGGATATGATTAGTCCGATGGCGCTGGTGGCCAAGTACCATCCGTAAACCGAGTCAGGGGCGAATATGAATGTTCCATGAGCCAGGGCAAGAATCAACTACCACGAAGGTGTCCCAGGTCAATGTGCATATTCCGCATCAAATACGGACCCAATTACCTCGAGTAAGATCAGTTTGTGCAGCAGAACGCCAGGTCGCATGTTTGCAACAGTAACCGCAGCCATGATGACCAGGGACCCCGTCATCAGGCCTTGCGACCAAGCTTCCAATACCAGCGCAGCGGGGTCATCATCAGGGGGCTTAGCCGTTCGTCTCACAAGGTCAAAATCCTTCACTGAGAGTGCGAATGACCGAATATTCTTCGGCGTGGTCATGTTACTTTGCTATCACATCTTACACGGCGATGTGCTGTGCAGGCGGCAAAGAGTAAAAAAAGAATCCGTCAAGTCTCCATTCGAGTTTCGCTTTTGGAATATATAGGCCACAGTTCTCTTTTTGCCTTCAGGGGGGAGCGAAGGGGTCAAAGCTCTCTCCACACTCAGAACTGCGGAGAATCTGGAGATGCACCGAGAGACTGTTTGTTTCCACCAAAGTCCTGTCGAGAGCGTCTCGCGGAGAGGAGGGGCTGCTCCGCGATGGCTGATTTTGACATCTCCGATTGGAACTTGTCTGAAAGCTAAAATTGTTACCCAATCATATCAAAAGTTATCAGGACCGCTGCTACTAAGCTCGTAAGTAGTGGGCCCAGTCATTCTCCGGACGGACCGGCCCGACTCAATGGCAAGACACCGAGGCTACACAACAAGTCGAGTATACATGCTTCTAGCCCTCTGGATCGTAGATGGAGAGAATATATCACTGCGGCGCCCATAATATCCCATGCCGTATCAGTTCAAATAGACATCGTATGCTTGTGCGCCTCCCTACGATCCTCCCATCAAGAATGGCTTCGGCCTGCGAGGATTGTCGCCTCCGCAGGAGACGATGTGACCGGATCCGGCCCAAGTGCACGTCCTGCGTCAATCAGGGGGTGGTTTGTGTGTACGGGCAGCCCGCGGACTCTCAACCATCACAGTAAGTCTACCCCTTCGACATAAACGCAGGTACTGTGGCTGAATGCCCATGGCAGGTTAGTACAGGAGCTCATGAGCATCCGAGAAAGACTTGAGTCTATAGTCCCATTACTACAGCCTAGACTGCAGTCTTCAACACTACACCACACGGCCCCGCCTGTTGGGCGTCCACAGAATTGTCCGCCCCTCGTCATCAAATCTCCTCACCTCATGCAAATCCTGGGGTTACCGAAGGATCTAGCATCAGTTCTCTATCGCTTGGAAATTGCTGCTCCACAAATTGCTGAGTCACCGGTCAAGGGGGCTCATGCTGGTTCTCCTGATTTGTACGTCTTACAAGTCAACAATTCAAAGACAACTGAGCTTACATCACACAGCATCCTCATTCGGTTTCAGGATCAGGTTCATCGATGGTACCCTGTCCTACACCATGATTTCACACACCACTTTTTTGAGTCAAACGCTGCTGGCTTTCCATACTCTACAAAATCATGCTTATCTCTCCTTGTTGCATCTTTTGCGAGCCTGGATGATTATCGCCCCCCGTCCTCCCACTATAAGGTGGCCCTGTCCATGTTCCCAATAGTGATACAGGAATCCAGTGTGACAAGCGTTCAATGTTTGGTTCTTTTCGGCATATACTGTGCATTTCTTCTTCAACCAAGGCAGGCATATGAGTATATACAGGCTGCATCCTTGAAAGTGCAGCCGCTAATGAAAAGGTACACCATCTCCTTGGCCATCTTTCTGTATCCTCACACGCAAGTTTGTCTGTTCCCGCTGATATCAAATAGTCCCTACTTTGCCGACGACTCGCCTGAGTCACACCTTCTCACACGCTTATACTGGATAATAAACCTGATAGAGAGGTCTGCTCATGCCTGTTTCCGCTACGTTTCTGTCCTAACGAGTGTGTAGTGAGATATCCATGCATTTAAATCTATCGTCCCTGGGGAAAACGCTGCGCGGCCAGTTGACAAAGACTCCATTACCGACAAGCGTAGACACATGGAACTACTACTCTGATTCGAGTCCACCCTCCATATCCCCACTATCTGGAGTGCCCCTAAGCAGATACTCACCAACGGAATCGCCGCAGATGTTCTCACGTCTTTCCACTGAATTAAATCTCCAGCTAGCCTTGAACAGCTACGCCAGCTCTGTAACAGATATGCGGAGTTCCTACAACGACGGCTCTCCGCATGTAGAGGATACGGCAGCTCCAAGCAACCCACTAGGCCCTTTAGCAGCTTTGGCCTGTACACGCAAGGGACCAGACTCTCAGAATAACCCACACCCATCACAACAAATGGATGATCCCATTTTTCGAGCCAAGAGTCACATGTACGAGGTAATTCTCTACTGGCCGGTTATTTACCACGTCATAATGGACGGCTCCGCGGACCCTGAACTCCTTCCCCACGGACCACTTTTCTTCGAATCTGTCATCAGCTACCTCTCTGCGGCTAGGATTGCGCTTCGGGTATGTCCTCCGAAGGCCTGGTTCTTCTGTGCAAGGTTCGTGTTTGCTTTTTGTTTACCGTTTATACCAAGCTTACGTATTGATCGCAGTATATACGTTATATCTGTTGCCGCCGTTAAGGCATTGGAAGTCCGATCTCTCCGTTTGCTGGCTCCGCCTTGGACTTGGAAGTATCTTGAGGGGTCAGTGGATGCGCTACATAGTCCGGGTGAGCGTAGTCCGTCCGTGCAGTATATGCGGGACTCTCTGAAAAATCGTTTGGAGATGGCTAAGCTGCAGAAGAGTGGCTAAGTACTCTTGCGGTAGTACGAATTTATGATATTTCTCTCGCTTCCGATGCAGAGGTATAATGAACTTTATACATTGGAGCTATTCTTGTATCTAGACCTGGTAGGGAATATGAACAATTCCATTTTTTGATTCCGCCCTACATACTCTGTGCTAAATTATCTTGCCAAGCAAGCTTCGCTGTCCCTGTTCGACAAGTCCGCGCTCCGATTGACATTTCTACTTCACCGCCAAGTAGAGCGCACTTCCTTCACGCGCAGCTTGACATCTCTGGTTACCCCGCCAGTAGAGAAAAGTCGACCGTACACAGCATCAGTCGCAGGGAAAATCTGGCTCGTAATCGTGGCCTCGCCGTTGCCTCCAAAAACCTCAACGCTCGACCAGTCAACCAGAACCCTAAGGGAGACAGTCCCGTCTGCCGACGGTGCCAGAGGGGCAGAATACACGCCCGCGAACGTACCGTCGAAGGATACATCTCCGGAGCGAGTGCGGTCAACAAAGACCTGCTGGGTTGCAAAGTTGTATCCAACGCGGGTTTCGTGGCTATAGTCTTTCGTGGCAGCGACGGTAACTCCGAATTCGGCCTCCGCAGTCGAGGACGACTCCCTTCTCGAGAAGGTCAACTCGAGCTCCAGAGCCTTCCCGATACGTCCAAGATCGCGGACACCATCCACACGGGTGAACGAGAAGGTTCGACCATCATCCGTAAGTGCCTTCCAATTGCCCGCAGGTTCCTGGACAATCGTTGCCTTCCCATCAATCGTCTTCAGCGCTAGATGCCGGGGGACCGACATCGCACTACGCCAGGGGTCAGTCGGGATGACCCCCCCATACTGCCAGTTATTCATCCACGCGATGATCAGCCGCTGCTCCTGGGGTAGACCGTTGAATCCAAGCGCCGCATAGAAGTCTGGGCCCCAGTCCAGCCAGTTCGCAATCGTATTTGTTGCGCGCGTGTTGGAGAAGGAAATCTGGTCGACGTTGATATGGCCCCAGCCTCCCGTGGCGTTGTCGATTATCTCAATCACCGCTGTCTTTCCTTGCAGTGTGCTTACATCCCAGCTTTGCCAGGTGAGGCCTTCGCTGTTGGATCCTGTGGAAGTGTGCACCGTCTGTCCGTTGACTTTCAGCCGGATCGCGGTTTCGTTGACGTTGTTGCCGCCTCCGACGAGGAAGTTGATATATTTGTGCGAGATTTCAAACGGGGTGGATGTGAGTGTGCCCGTTGTGGCATCTCCATTGAGAAACGTGTTCAGCAGCTGCTGACCGAGATATCCCGTTACTGGGTTCTGCCCGGAGAGTGTGCCCTTCGATGGGGACGCGCTGGTCAAGTCACCCGTGGCGGTCCATCCCCGGGCAGCAAATGTCTTATCTCCTTCGAAGTCTTCGAAGATCACGCTGTCCTCCGGACCACTCCCGTCATGAATGCTATTCGCATCTGCCGTGAATGTGGTGCCGTTGAAGTCGCCTACAATATATTGACTGCCGGAGCCGACGGTTCCTGGCGGGCCACCGGGGTTAAGACCCAGCATGAGAACCCATTTCGTCTTCTTGCTGCCATCGAGGGAAAGTGGGAAGATACTCGGGCATTCCCAGACTCCACCAACTGCATTGGCCGGTCCGAATTCACTAGCCAAGTTCCATTGCTTGAGGTCCCGCGAGATGTAAATCAGGATCTTGTGCAGTTTTGCAAGACTAATCACAGCAACCCAGTGGCGAGTTCCTTCATGCCAGAAGACACTGGGATCCCGGAAGTCCAGGTACTGGTCCTGGTATGGAGAGGGTGGGTCGGCGATAACAGGGTTCGCAGCGTCGTAGGTAGTCCATGTCATGCCCTTGTCAAGACTATAGGCGATAGACTGCGCCTGCTGATTCGTTCTGACACGCTTCCCACTTGGTAGAGCTTGCTCCATCGGGTACTGCATCATGTTAGTTTATCCAAATCAGAACCAGCGGGAGGACACACTCACGTAGGACGTATACATCGCAACCCAAGGCGTCTTCCCCGTCCGCCCAAATCCACTCGTATTCTGCTCATCAATAACAACCGTTCCAGAGAAGAACATTTCTGTAATGTTATCCGGGAAACCCTTCGCACGAAGCGCCACAGGGTGTTCCGTCCAATGCATCAAGTCCCTGCTCGTCGCATGACCCCAGGACATTGCACCCCACGTTGTCCCGCCCGGATTATACTGGAAGTATAGATGGTAGACGCCCTCTTTGGCATCGTATACGAGGCCGTTTGGGTCGTTCATCCAGTTCTTCTCTGGACTGAAGTGGTACTGGGGACGGTAGAGCTCCGTATAGGCCGAGGGCTTGCTGGGGCGTGCCGCAACCGCGGCGGAAACTGCGGAGGCAGACATGCCGACCAGAAGCTGAACGAGAGTACTGAGCTTCATTGCCGTGTTCTCTTGGGGAGTAGCGGGCAATGCAACAGTGAAAAAAAGGAGTGTGTGCTGGTTACTTACTTTTGTGGCCGGGGATGTCCTCGGTTTTATGGACTTCAGCGTGGAACAACTTCACCTCATACGCATCAACTGATCTTCACCGAATGCAATATCCGGGTTTGCGCCCAGCTGCCCATCGCGGAATGGGATGGTGTCCGAAATTTCTCCGCGCGCTCAATCTACAAGTGTTTCTAGAACTGTGTATTCCCCGCAAAGGGGCGCCGCTACACCAAAGTCGCGCATGGGGTACTCACTGTGCATGTTGAGAGATTGTGGGGTAGGCAGAGGTACAACAAATGGAGCGACTTGGGAATAGCGTTTTTTTTTGGGGGTTTTGCCGAGGAGGTCTCGCGGAAACAATCAACCTCTCCGCGAGGGGACCACGCAGTCTTAGTGGATCCCAATTTGACTGTGCTGCACCCATGGACACTGCCCTCAGGTAATGCTCCGCATGCAAGGGGTCGTTACCCCGTGGGAACCCCTGTCATATCGCGGGGACAATTTAGCTCTTTATTTACCTGAAGAATGAGACACCCATTGTATACCCTTATCACTCATCAGCGTATACGGACATCGCATCACGTAGCTCTATGTAGACTGGCGATCACTGAAAGATATGTACTCTCGGAAAAGATATGTAAGCCTGTGTTGTTTAGGGAGAAGAATGTATTAACTCCTCCATTCTACCATTTCTCAGGTTAGCAAGCCTCAAATCGCCGGCAATAATGATTATTTCCGTTGTGTATCTTGCCACCCACGCTACTACCCCAGCCAATGGAAAAGAGCAAGGATTATGGTGCTCCGCAAACCCAGGAAACCTGACTATACAGTACCGGGAGAATACCGACTGATTTAACTGCTGAACACGCTCGGAAAGATTCTAGAAGCAGTGATGGCCAAATGGCTATTATACTAGGCAGAGTTAAAAAGGCTGCTGCCATAATCACAGTTTAGAGGGCGACCCAGTTAAAATATAGAATAAGCACTACTGGTGCTTACAAATGCAGTCGACTGAGCATACCTCTAATCTAAGGTAGTCACACTTATCGCCTTTGATCTCAAATGAGCCTTCAACGGGGTTAATAAGACTAGCCTGGAAGCTGGGGCTTTTGCTGGAGAGTATTTTCTTATTACTCTCCTAGCCCCAGTGTGCAGATGGGAGTAAGCGGATTCACATACTGAACCTACTAAGCTGATAGCCTAGGACCACATTCAGTCAGTAGTTTGGGATTGCTACAAGATTTCCTGCTTGAAATATATCCCCTGAAGATGGAAGTGGAATGTGTTCTGGCAGATTTACAATTAACAAAGGCACGCACCCGTGCCCTTCGACAGCAGGCATCTATACTCAAGGAAAGGGGGGAATTTCTGCGAAGAAGTTGGTTGTTCTGCTATAGCTTGTTGAGTAGGTTTTGTGGGTAGTTAGAGCGAAAAACTGCAGTTTAGTTAGTTGTTTCTTCATGATTCTTCTAGACAATACTGCTCTACTATTGGGCTCGGGGATTCGGAGCTACTGCAATAACACCGAAGCATCGGGATTCGGGTGAGTAAGCAGGCAGCAGCCAAGTAAGCATTACAAAATACAACTCAGTTTAATCCATATTTGTCTGTATTCTCTGCTTTCATCTGCTGCATCAATTTATCAGCATGGTCTATCTTGGCCCTTCTCGAGGATGCGAAACATGCAAACGGAGGAGGAAGAAGGTGTGTCGTCACACCCACAGCGTATGGCACGGCTAATTGAATACAGTGTGATAAAACTCGTCCGGTCAGCATTAATGCATGTTATAGTTTTGCCTTACCTGCAACTTGTTAACCAGAGCAGTCATGTCTACGTTGCCAGAAGTCAAATCGCACATGTGGAGGCTACCAAGAACAAGCCAGCCGGGCCATGATCTTCCAGAAGAACTATACCCAGACCACGACCCGCACTGACTACCTGGCGGCTGTAAAACCCTTCGCGCGAAGGTGTAGTCTACCTGTCCGAGCACCATACCCTGGTACAGATATCCTGCCGGATGACGCCACTCCAAAAGAAGTGAGCGAGGAGGATGTCGTCGAGTTTGCAGTGCGGGGATTCTTCTACGACTTTACTGTTTCATCACCCGATAGCATTAGCGCATCTGTTGGCTTTCTCAAGAATCTGGAGCTGCAGGTCCAACTCAAAGGGCTGGACTCAGTCCTTGGAAAAGCCTGCACGATGATTAGCTATGCGAATAACGCTAGGAAGCTCCGTCGGCCGTCTTTCACGACCAAGGCAGAGATGATGTATCATGAACTGCTGCGGTATCTTGCGAAAGAGATATCGAGACCAGCATCCGTGAGAGAGAGGTCAGAACTTACTCAGCTGGCTTCGCTAATGGGTCTTTACGAGGTATGATTCACTTGCAGCTTGCAGTAACCGTTGCTCACAGGGCAGGTTGTCATGGCTGATGAGACCCGTCTTGCACAAATCGACGTACATGCTAGAGGGTTAGCGGGGATGTTGCAAGTCGAAAACTCGCCCTTGGGCTTTGTCTGGGGAGTAATTTCTCATCACTCTGTTAGCCCCAGTGCAAAGATGCGAGTAAGTTGATGCTTATACTGAACCTACTAAGCTGATAGCCTAGGATCCGGGTCTTGTGCGCTCACCAGATTTGGTCAGTAGTCTGGGATCACTACATGATATCCTGGTTGAAATATATCCCCTGAAGATGGAAGCGGAACGTGTACTGGTGGATTTAGAACTGACAGAGCCATATGCTCATGCCCTTCGACAGCGGGCATCGATACTCAACAACCGGCTAGCACAGTGGGAAGCCAGTGTCGCGCCAGAAAGCAGGCCGATCACAATAAGCCACGTACCATCGAGCAGCGACCCGTACATTGAAGTGGGACACTGGCCCGGTCCATTGCACATGTACATTGACCTTCGTGCGGCAGCTATATTTAACATCAGTCGCGTTGCGCGATGTTACCTCCTTGACATGATTTCCGGGCTCAAAGCCATGCAGCCCGACGAGGAGGACGATGATCAAGAGATATTGAAGGCCGTCCAGCTCATCCAGGACTTTACCTCCTCAATCCCATATCACCTAGTCGAGGACTTGCATTCCTTCTCTGCGAATGTCCAACGTGGCAATACCATCGAACAGCCTGGGAGGGCAGTTGGTGGATTACTACTGATTTATCCCCTGTACATCGCTTCTCAGCTATCCATCGTACCGCTAGAGTTGCAGGACTATTTCAAACGGTGCCTGGTCTGGATTGGACAAAATATGGGACTTGGATACGCTTCTCTGCTGGCTAAGGTGAGATTTTAATATCGCTGTTCGAAGTGCCTGGTCGTGCTGACTATACTCAAAGATCCATTTTCACATCGGAGATCTAGCTGCGGGATGCATGATCGTCTACGGAGGGTTGCTCTGAGGGGTTAGGCTTTCCGAGATATAACAAGTTAGAAAGAACTGAGCAGAAAAGACCGCAACGTTCACCTACAGCAGTCCAGATCTGTCCATGTGGCCTCTAGACACCTTTCCACGCAGTTATTTATATAACATCAGAGTTAGGCAGCTCATTTCCAAAAGAGAGACTCGTATTGCGCCTTAGCCACCGCTAGCGTGCCTCTTATTATGCCACGTTGCGCATTGCCATAAAAGATGAGAAGCTCTCTTGAAAAATACAATATAACAATGGAAATATTCTATTCTATCTCCAATTCCCGCAGAGTAAAGAAATATCTCGACGAAGCAACCAAAGGTCCGTCCTGTTACCCTCGACCTAGAATTCCATACTGACAGACCTAGAATCCGTACTCGAGGATCTCACCAAAGTGCTCGCTTCTTACTGGGTGGGTGCTAAAGACGTGTGGACTGTTTTCTTTCTTCACAGTTTCCAAGAGGAATACGACCGCTGTATGTCCGTGTTCAACTTTTAAATAACAACGCTGACTCCGTAGACTGGGACGTCGAGAGCCTCCGCCAGTTCCTCGCCAGTCGGCATCCGGGACTTGATTCCCATGAGACGACGTATCTGCTATGGCGGTGTCTGCATTTCTACGCGCATTATCCGTTCGCGCGCAATTCTCGTGGGAGCAGGATCGATTTAAAGGGGTTCCAACGGGCGGTTGCCTTACTCGTGTTTCGGGGGACGGATTCACTAGGGACTCAGCAGCCAGGGGATCACTACCGGCGTCATGACGAGGCGTTATTTCGGGAAGCCGATTTGAGGAGGATGCTTAGAAGTATTAGCGAACCCGCGCAATTCTATTCTGCGGAGAAGCAGTGGGCAGTGGACGATGTAATGGACGTGCTGGCAACGACGCAACCTCACTCGACCACTCTGGCGCCGTCGCCGGATCACGTGCGAGAGGCAGCCGAAAGGATACTGTCTAGGGACTCAATGAAGCATCGTCTTTGTCGAGATGAGTTCTCACTCTTCGTTCGGTTACTCCTCCAGCTGAGAGTGTGGGGTGTCGAAGGGTCATGTTTGCCTTCTGGGATGTTCAATGGCGACTCGTCATCTGCTTGCCAGGAACTGGCGGACAGTATTGTGGATGCGATCTGTTGTGAAGACCAGACGATCGATGCAGGAATTGTGGCCGATGTTCTGGTGAGTATACCGATTGTGCCTATGCTTAGAAGCTCTAACCATGTACAGCCGGGTCTTCGCGAGCAATTCTACCGCCTCTGGGGAGTTATATTCCAGCCTCGCAGTCTACAGGAGACGACTGTACCACCAGAGCAATGTTTACCGAACCGTATCCTGGCGGCAGTTTCTCTTTTGCTTCCATTCGCCATGGAGGCCTCCGGGCCAAGTGATGCCGGCTTAAAATTGCTGCCTCGGATGGAAGACCTGGGAATGGACCTTCAACTTGAGCAAATTCGAGGCAGTGACTATCCACATATTCTGTTGTTTACCAATAAGACTTGTACAGCTGTGGTAGGGGCATATATCCCTAATCCTTCCGGTCTACTAGACACTAGCGGTCATTTTCTCTTTCAACTGTGTCCCAGGTTCTGTCTGTTACGATCGACTAAGCTCAGACCATCGCTGGAAGAGGCGTTCCATGCTGAGAAAAATGTATCCTCGCTCAGCACCGTCACAACGGATCAGAAACCGTCACTTCCCTATGCGATATGTCATGAAGAAGGAGGGGCTCTTCTAAGCGTTGATCCGCAAGGTCTGACAGTCACGATGGTTGTCAATCTGACTGAATCAAGTGAAGAGAAACCCATCTATACAAATATGTGCAAGGACCAGGACCGAGAATGGGAGCTTACAGTCCACCCTGCGCAACTGCATATACTCTGCATTAACCCCAGCGCCAGCACGCCAACCTGGGGCAGGAATGCAAGCAAGGAGGGGGTCAGTGGTCAGGAATTGCGGAACAGGATTCAAGGTTTTGGGTCTTGTAACTGCGAAAATACCAAACCCTAACGTGTTGAAACGGTGGAATATTCGGCGTCAATTCTATGGCGGGACTTGCCCGTAGACTCGAAACAGCTCGAGATGGATGGTGCTTCTATCGTACTATATGCAGCAGTCTGATATTCCTTAGCTTGTTTGACATGCATAGGCTCGTCAAGACAAACATCCATCCAGGAAGACCACAATACATGTAGCGTTATCCCTCCGCGAACCCTCTGCAACGTCCCGGACGAGCTCGTCTGCCACCTGCTGCACTCCTAGCCCCCCTTCATGCCGTGTTTTGATTTCATCGATGACGACATTATCCTCCAGCACATTGGTGACACCGTCTGTCGTCAAAGCCAGGATATACCGACGATCTTGCCGCAGATCTACACGGACGATGGACGGTTCACTAGACAAAAAGTTGCCCTGCTCGATCGACGCCGTCATAGCCGCTAGTTCCTGGCCTGCAGTGCTTGGACCTGCAGTATCATTGTTGAGTGGGTTTTTATACTGCAGATCCCCCAGTGCGCGCGACATATTCAAGGCTCCTAGTCCCATTAGCCTTGTCATAAGTAATCCAAAAGCAACATACCTATCCGCGCAGTATCCGACTCATAGTTGACCGTTCCCCCCGCCGCCTCGATCCTCTCCTTCTCTCTCGGACTGTCGGGCTTGTGGTCTTGCGTCAACCGATGCTGCGCTCTTAGCTATTGTCTACTGTACCAAGGCTAGGGCACATACCACAGTATCCAATTGCCCAGTTAAGTCGCACTCGCCCAGAAGGATATGCGAATCGCCCAGGTTACCTACCACCACCACACCCTTGTTAAGATTGATAATCGCCACCGAGACCGTTGATCCACCGATCGCGAATTTGTCCTCTCCATCTTGACATTCCTCAAGAAGCGTTTCCTCTTCTTTTCGGATGGCTTGTCGGATCGCTTCCTCATACCGACCGGCTTGCAGCGCGTCGCCTTCAAAGAGGAGCTCCCTGATGTGTCGCTTTGCATGTTTCGCAACTTTACTGGAGCCACTGTTTCTCATTAGTACACTTCTGATAGTAATGAAATGGGTCTCAGTCTTACTGTCCGTCATAGACCGCGAAGATGGCTACTTCATAGTGAATCGTCGTCTTGGGGATCTGGTCTGGAAGGATTATTGCGTATTGATCCTGCTGTGAGGGCCGTGTTCCTTGCGCCTATTGTTGTTAATGTTTGACACCTACGTGCTTCCCAGGCATGCTTACACTGGCGCCTCCTGCTCCTCGTAGTTGGATGGCATGGTTGGATGAATGAGAGTGTGCATTGGACCCCATGTTGCGTTTATAAATTTCAATAAATTATGGAAATGCCTGTGTCGTACAACAGATCTGTTTATTTTCTACTAATATAAATGCGCAGCTGTATCACTATTTATGGAAGCTGATGCTCAAGTGGTCGTGATTGATGACATCACTGGCGGCTCCTTGTAAAATCAAGCTTCGGCCCTTCCCGGCAGGATTCTTCTCCTTTGCCTTGCGGATATAAGTAAAATTAGCCTAGGGGTTAGAACCTAGGTTAATAAGAGTAAGAGTAAGAAGAGTCTGGGATATCCCTGTTCACCACACGTTTAATGAACTATAATTTATTTATGACAAATATTTACAATTTCTCTACGATCAGTTGACTGGCGAGAGGACAAGTCGGGGTTTTAGTAGGGTCAACGATCACTGCCAAGATATGGCGTCACTCTTACCACATCCGGGGTCAGTACAGGCTAGAGATCTATTAGTAGCAGACTGTTCTAGACTAGATAGCTATCCTTCCCTGTAAGGCTGCCAGTGTGCTGATCAAACAAATAGTGCATATCGCATCGCATTCAGAGACATGTCACATATCATCCAGACAGCGGCTGCTTGGCATGAGACTGCTACAGCTACCAGCACTATCTCATGGTGACGGCAGACGAATACTGGAAACTATATCCTCCTATCCTGAGTGACGGGATGCTGGTAGTGACGACATGACCAGTCAAATCAGCTGGATAGCTAAGCTGCCACCCTCTCATCATGACATCGCACCTCCAGCTATATAACCCAATAGGCCCTGTAAATTGTAGGCCATAACCGTACAAAATGGCTGTTCCCGTACGACTCATACGCCCCATCCCACTCTCCATCTGCATCTCCAGATTCCAACCCTTCCCCCTGGCAGCAAGAACCGTCTCCACTTCTCCCATCGAAATGATCGGACGAATCACCGACACGGTCAAGCAGGATCACCGCGAGATCGAAGCCTGCTATCAAAGGATCATCAACGGCAAGGACCGTGACGAGCAGACCCGCTACCAGAATCTGTTTACCTGGGAACTAGCCCGACACTCCATCGGCGAGGAACTGGTCGTCTATCCTGCGTTTGAGAAACATCTCTCAGATGGAATTGCCATGGCAGACAAGGACAGGAGGGAGCACCAAACTGTACTCGATCCTCTAACCCTAGTGATCGAAAACTGACAACCACAGGTCAAAGAAAAACTCAAGAAATTCCAGAACCTGGACCCCTCCAACGCCGAGTTCATTCCCGCCATTAAATCCCTGATGGCCGATCTTGCAGAGCACATCAAGGAAGAAGAAACGAACGACCTGGTCAAGCTCGACGAGGCTCTGTCCCATGACGACAGCGTCAGTCTCTCCAAGAGCTTCGAGCGGACCAAGATTTTCGTGCCTACGCGCTCGCACCCCAGTGCGCCAAACAAGCCGCCGTTTGAGACGGCTGTGGGATTGTTGACTGCTCCAATCGATCAGCTGGCGGACTTGTTCCGCAAGTGGCCGCACGAAGGGCAGCAGTCGCCTATGGGTCATGATTCGCCTATGGGTCATTAGTAGTGTTTTAATAGTATCAATTTATTTTGCCATGTTCCTTAATGAGCCTAGACTAGTAAACTGTCCAAATCGACTGGTCACAGGAAGCTGTAGATGTGGCTGGATCTAGACCAAGACCATCATCTGCATCATAGATCACTTGGACGTCATTGGTAGATCAGACCGCATGCCCAGATACCAGAAACAAGATCTGAAGCCAAGTTTCCGGAAACATGCATGATCAAGGTAAACTCAATTAAGTGGTGATAGCACAATGACGCGGTATGCGCTTAGCCCTAGTATATACAGCGCAACTCAACACCCATTCAGCAGCCAATCTTCAAATCTGCGAACAATTGGATTGCGAAGAATTGACCAAATGACAAGATGTCCCGCACAGTCTGCGTCACCTCGGTAGACGGCCACACCGGCTTCCTCATCGCCGAGCTGCTCCTCACAAACGAGACCTTCAAATCCAACATCAAGTCCGTCACCGGTCTCACCCTACACCCGCACGCAGAAAAATGCAAGGAGCTCGCCAAGCTCGGCGTCAAGATCGTCCCGCACGAACCGGGCCGTCTGAAACACACCGTCCAGACCCTCCAGCAGGTCGGTGCCGAGGCCCTCTGCCTGATTCCACCGGCGCATAAAGATAAATTCGACATCACGATGGAGATGATCGAGGCGGCGAAGCAGGCCAATATTGCCAATGTCTGCTTCGTCAGCTCGGCGGGGTGCGATCTCGCCGAGCGTGACAAGCAGCCTCATCTTCGGAGTTTTATCGATCTGGAGGCGGCCTTTATGGCCTCCAAGGGGGATTCATCTACTTCGACGGGGCATTCGCCTGTTGTCGTGAGGTATCCTCCACTGTTCCTTATGCTTAACGTTTTCCAGTGGTAAGAGGCAATCTGACACATGTAGGGCTGGCTTCTACGCCGAGAATCTCCTGCTATACTCAGAGCAGGCCCAGAAGGAGGGCATCCTGCCTCTTCCCGTCGGGACGAATCATAAATTTGCTCCTATCGCGTTGGGTGTATGTCTTATCCTCCGTCACAGTAATGCAAACTGACCAAATAGGATGTCGCACAAGTCGTCGCCCATGTCCTTTGCGGCAAAGGCAAGCATGGCTTCGCCGATCAGCACCGCGGCCAACTGATGGTTTTGACTGGTATGTGGCCTCACTAAGGTAGCTTGAGCGCAGCTAACAGCGCAGGACCGCTGCTTACAACCGGTGACGAACTCGCCAGCGCAGCCAGCCAGGCGCTGGGCACGGACCTCAAATTCGAGAATATCTCAGAGTACGTCTCCCGTCCCCTGTCGTGAACGAGACTGACAGTCCCAGGGCCGAGGCAAAGAAGGTTCTGCATGCGCAGTCGGAGAGCGACGACTCAGAGCTGCAGTATCTGCTCGAGTACTACTCCCTTGTCCGCGAGGGCAAGACCAACTACATCTCCACCATGGCATTCCATGATGTGACCGGTGGTCATCCGCAGGAGCCGGTTGAGTTCTTCAAGGTCTACCACGAGAGCTTCCGTCCTAAACATGTGAACAAGAAGAGGAGGATGAGCAAGTGATTGGCTTGCTTTCCTGACTGGATGAAAGATGAACCATGTAGTACCTAGCTATTTTCAAAACCTTCTGCCATATCATTTTCATGTCCATCGCTCTTCGTCTCAGCACTGAGTAACCCTTCCCGCAGTGTAATCCCTCCATCAGTAATCCTCACCCTCTTCTCGCCCACCTTCTCTACCCAGTTCTTGCCCATTTCGCCCACCTCCTCCCCCAAAACGACCAAAGCCAGCACCCTCCCCACCGCCGTTTTCTCCAAGAACCCCTTCAGCCGACTAATCCCCGTCCGCCGCATACACCCCAACACAGCCAGACCCCCCAGAATACCCAGCGCAACAACCAGCACCACAATCGCTGGAACCGCATACGGCAGCCTATACCGTATCCGCCTCTCAAACACCGTAACCGGCAGCGCCTGGTTGTGGTCTACAGCAGCCTTAGTCCCAACCATGGCGTTAGCCGCGAAATCCGTCCACACAAGATCGATGATCTTCGCTGCGCCTGTAGCCGTCGTCGAGAGAGCTTGCCACTTGGCGTAGAGGGCGAGACTCGTCCAGCCGGAGTAATCCGCGTAGGGTTGGCCGCCTGGACTGCTGATGCTGAGTGCGCGGTAGAGCGCTTGGGTGTAGAAGTCTACGCCTGGGAGGTTTTGGCCTGTGGATATGGGGACGGCTGCGAGGCCGGTGAAGGGGGTGATGTAGCCGGGTAGGTAGAGGGAGGGATTTGCGATTGTAGACAGGTTGTCTGTTGAAGTTGTGTTGGCCGGGAGAATGCCCCAAAGCGGCTGGACTTCTGAGAGAATTCGATCGGGGAGGTCTTCGACGGCCCAGAGGGGGGCAGAGGGGTACGTCTTTTGGGAAAGCGAGTTGATGGACAGTGCGTCAAGGCTCGTACCGTTGTACCGGAAGGAGACGGTTTTGAGGCTGGCCTTGACGGCGCTCGCGCAGATGTAGAGCGGCGTGCTCCAGCGGGAGTTTGGGTCTGTTCGTAGCGGCGAGACACCGTCAGTGCGGTTGGCGGCGCCGTAGACGAGGCCGCAGCCGATGAGGGCGCTGTTGATGCTGGATGGGCTGGACGAGGTCGTGCCGCCGCAGAGGGTTGTAGCTAAATCGAAGTCTTTCTGGGCGATTCCGTGGGGGTTGGCGGTAGAGTTGCTGCGGTGGAGATTGAGATACTCTCCCAGACTGGTTGTACTCCTGATGCTGCGATATCCAAGGGTAAAATTCGCATTCTCCAGCTTGAAGGTCTGTCCCGGCGTTACGTCCAGACGGGTGATATTCGCAGGATCCGGATCCGTCGCGTTAAAGTACGCAAGCGTGAGGAAGTTGTTATACCATGCCGCATTCCACGCTCTCTGCCACAAATCAAACTCCTGCCCATTGACAGGAACACTGGTCGAGGGACGAGGTTGCGCCAGATTCGACAGTCCCCCGTGATCCTTCAACACCAGATTAACAAGAGACAAGCTTGTCTCGCGGTCCGGCGGCAGCTGGAAATCAATCGAAACGTTCAACGGCACACACTGCGTCTCCGGCTGGATGAACAGGATATCCTCGTTCCAGGTGGACCCATACTTGAGCCCCTTGGACGGCGCCGTATGATTCCTAAACCCTATCCCCCCGTCCACCATGTCAACAATTAACCCCTCCACAGCCTCGACCTTCTCATCCAAAATCAGAACCTGCAGCGAGCGATACGACGGCTTCTCATACCATCCTAGCACACTGTACGGGTCCGTCCCATTGACGAGAGTCCGGTACTGCATGTCGAAAATACTCGAGACGGAAGGGCCCAACGCGTTCGCGCCGTCGCGGAATACATTTCGCAAATGCTCTGGGACAAGGCTATCATAGACAACGGTACAGTTCTCCAGCAGGCCCTGCTGGCGACACATTTTGTTCAGACTTGTCCCCGGACAAGCCTGTTCGAGGCCGCAGTTGCGCGTGAATGGGGCATCGCTGCGAGCCGGTGTGCCGTAACTGAACGGAGACGAGCCTCTGATGTAGGCGAATGGTTCAGGTGTTGGCGACCCTGCCGGCTCGATGGATTCATACAGGCCCAGTGGAGTAACGATCGAGGCGATGGAGACGATCCCCAAGATGATCGTCTGCGCGTACCCGGTGATAGTCAACCTCTTTTGCACGCCGGATGCAGCCGCCGTGCTGGAGCCGAGGATGCTGGGCCATAGGGTTGAGTGGAGAAAGCGGGCCAGCACGTTCCTATCTCAGATCAGTTAAACATGCGGGACGCAGACAGATCGACGTACTACGTACCAGCTGATGATCGAGTTCTCATCAGACAGGAAAGCGATGAGGATAAGCGGCAGAGCCAGTGGGAAAAGTAATTGCACGATGAACACGCCTGCAGCGATCAGGCCTGAGACCTCCGCAACCGTGAGACTGGTCATTATCTCAGATCGCGTCACCTTTCGATAGATTCTCCTGTCAACGTATTTAAGGCGATGCTTAATTCGGGACACGACCACGAATACGAGCCGGCACTCCCTGGCATTGGTCGATGTTATTGTATACGATAACTAAATTACTTTGTCTTGGCGCTTGACCGCAGCCTCATCCTACTGGAGAAGAGATTGATCGCCTCGTATCCAGCCGAATTGGCCTTAGCTGTAGGCGCTTACTCCTGTTACTTTCAGGAGAATATCTCCCCGCTCGAACCTGCAGCTACAACCCCAGTCCAGCCATGATCACTCCTGCACCCATCAAGATGCCATTAATCCCCGTCGCAAGAGCCGCATTCTTGCTCTGACTCGGACTCAAATTGCCAGTTGCAGTGGCAGTTGCAATAGCAGACCCTGCGCCCAACTTCGAGGTTGTGCCCACCGCCGACGTAGACACAGGCACGGACCCCTTATTCCCACTCGGCAAGGCAGTCGCAAGCGCAGGGTCTGGCGTAATAGCGCTCGCGCTCTAGATACCCCTCATCAGTCTCCATCGCAGCAGGGAAGGAAATAAACATACCACCAGATCACAGCACCCCTCGCCGAAACACACCGTCCCCTCGGAACAGCAGGTCTGGTGCTTGGGGTTGTAGCAAAATTGGTGGGGGTAACTCCCAGAGCACCACTTCAGGGACGGATATCGGCCGTTCTGCGAGCAGCATTCCTCGTTGGTTTGCTGGGGTGTGCAGGTTATCGTGTCGAGGGTGCCGGCTGTCGAGCCGGCTGCCGAGGTGGTGGTGGGGAAGGGGATCAGGCCGTCTGTTCCTGGTGTTCCTGTTCCCTTTTGGCCATTAGTAAGTGTAGTGGACGTAGGAATAGGGAGGCGTACCAAGGCGTCACAGCAGGAGTTATCTTTTGCGACGCAGGAAACTAGGTCTGTTAGTCGTGGTAAGATAGGTTGACGTGATGGGGAGAAAGGTACAGCCGTCTTTGCAGCATTGCTCCCCCTTGTTTGGATTGAAGCAGCCTGCGTTGTCGCAAATGATGTTTCCTGGGCCGTAGCAGTCCGAGCAGGTGTTTTTAGCGGTGCAGTTGCCATTGAAGTCGCGAGCGAGGAGCGAGAAGTGGCCGGGAAGAGGTTTGTGCCATGCTGCCAGGGCAGTGCTGGCGAGGAGGAGAAGCAGCTTCATGTTCTCTGTAGTAACTTGAAATGGCCGGGTTGGATGAAGAACACTGAGCGGAGACTTGACTTATATTGAACACGAGCATGACTTAACTAAGGGACATAGCCCACTGTGTGTCAGAAAAATATTGCCGTGGTTCTAGCCAAAACCAGCTCTACTATAATATCTATTCAACCTTAATATAAATAGATCACATTATGTTATAGATTAACATGGATCAAATCGAACTAAGGTAAGTCCTAGATTAAACACTAGTAAATAATACTATATACATGATTGGTCATTACAAAGTTCTAAAAGGTACTAATGCTAGGATGACAGAGCTAAATGACTAGGCTTGCTGTAACCTTCTTAACAGCCGTCCACAGTTCAGATGTATTCCAAGAATACTTCCATATGCGTCCGCAACCCAACACAGCCGCGGCTGAAATCCCTCGGGCAGCAGGTTTGGCGTAAGTACGAAAGGGAGCAGGCTGCTCTGACAAAAGTTTTTGTAGTCCGCCCAGTGCTTGGCCTGTCGGCAGGAATGATGTAGGCTGTGAGCGTCTAGACGATTATTGTCTGCTGCGTCGCGCCCAATAAAAGCCGGAGGATGGGGTGGGTTAGCTCTGTGAATGTTCGGCAGGTTACTAGACAGCAGAAGCTTATGTGCAACTGAATGTTTGGCAAGTATTGCTGCCATGTTACACAAACTATTGCAGCTCGGCTTATACAATATTAAATCAATACTCCAAGAAGAGAAAGGAGTCGTATGAGGTGACGAAAGTAAAAGAGGCTTTGATTTTCGCTCGCTTCAAACTGATAAACGGTGAGCCTTCCTGTCACCTCCTCCTTTTAAGGCTCCGTGATCATTATGCAGACCCATTCCAAATCCATGTTTATAGGATGGACGGCAGTTTCATATCCTGCCAGCCATTAGCAGCCTCAAAGAGGGATGCAAACTCAGCAGTCTGCTGGTAGATTGCAAACAGATCCGCGAGCCCTTTGTCTTCAGCTACGCCGGTCAAATTATCAACCGAGCTTGTCTTTTCCGCGACTGTATAGTTTCCTGGAACTAGGTCTCTCTTCTTATAGCCGCAGCAAACAGGCGGGATAACACAGGAGACGGGGGCGGTTTCCAGGTTACCGTTCATGGCCGACACACAGAACTGGAAGTTCCAATTTCCTGGGAACAGGAAGCCGACCTCTTTTGATGTTTCCGTCGTTGTAGAATCTAGCTTCAGGGCTGTATTGTCCCTTACACTTCTGACATAAACGTTGTAGCCTGAAGCCCCGGATACCGCGTTCCACTCAAGTCGAATAGTGGTTGCATCGATGGTGTTCACACGAAGCCCACTGGGCGGCGCAGGTGCCCCCTGTCCAGCAATCACTTCTCGTGCGGCTGCAGGTAAACCACCAACTATGGCATATGTTCTGGTTAAGCTCCCGATCATACCGACATAAGTAGCCACCCATATGCCGTAGCGGTGACCAGGCTTCAAATCCTTGATAATGTAGCTCGTATCCACCGTGGGATATGTCACGACAAAGGCGCCCTCTGTGTCTCTATCCCATACAAGCACGCCGTATCGATTCACATAGTAGCCCGTGACCGCATCCCACCGCACGTAGACATCATTTCCTTGAGGTTGAACGATAATGTTAGAAGGTCCCGGAGCGGTGGCAACCTGGGCTGTTGCTGAGCTAAATTCCGACCAGTCCGACCTCACATCACTGTCGCCTTTAGTGCGGACTTGATATTCCCACGTCTGGCCGTTAATCACCCATTGCTGCCAGCTGCCGTGGGTGGACGGGTAGACAAGGCCCTCAGACCACCAGCCTGTCGCCCCCTTAACCCTGGCACGGATCTCGTATCCTCGACTATTCTCAACTGGGTCCCAGGTTGTGAACAAGCCCTCCGGCCACGAAACTGACCGCACATTAACCGGCTTGCTCACGGGCCTGGGATCTACCGTGGCGGGGACTTGGAATTCTATGCCGCTATATCCATAGTCTTTCTGCAGGACTCGGGCAAAGGCCTGGGCGAGATGGTACTCACCCAGAGCATTAGGATGTAATCCATCGTACCCGTCGGGACAGCCGTCCGGGCGACAGTTGTAAGGGGTATTAACGTCGACGTACGAAATCGGGGACTCCCACCGGAACCAGTTTGGAAGCCTATCCCGCAGGAGGATGTTATATTTGTTCGTCATGTCGATCAGGTCCTGGCGGCCCTTGATAAACGAGCGATGGACGACGTTCGCCACGAGAAGCTTGATGTCTGGCTTGGCCTTACGTGCAGCCTCGACAAGGCTTCCCATTTTTCCAACCAGGTCTTCGGGCCCGTTCACCCACCAGCCCAGGTCGTTGAAGCCTAGCAGAATCAGGAGATAGTCCGGCTTGTATTCGGAGACCCAGCCGTTGATGGTGTTTTTGGACTGTTCGACTTGACGACCCCAAAATGCAGCATGGCCACTGTCGCGGAAGCTTTCAGCCACACCTGGGGCATAAGAACCGCGGATCTCAACAGCTGCCGGCGGGTGCTCGTCCGGGAACAAGGGGCCTTGAGGCTGAGAGTCGGAGATCGGCCTGTTCCCGAATGTTCCCTTCCAGGGCCCGACGAACTGGTGTATGTATCCGTTTTTCTCCACTAGGCCAGAGGAAAGTGCTCTGTTAGACTCCGATCATATCTTCTTCAGCACATTGTGATTTGTGACACTCACACCATTGACTGAGACGGTATCTCCACGTCCAGTCGTCCTCCATTCCATGTGAAATAGAGTCTCCCACCACCATAAATTTTGCCTGCTCGTTGGGGGTTGCCTCATAGTCATCCGAAAGGTCGTTAATGCAAGGAATCGCGCAGTCCCCGCCCCAAAGAACACCGCCTTGTGGGAACTGATCCTTCACGCCGGAGGAGCACAAGCCTAGGCAATCCTCTCCTTTAGAGTACTGGCAAGCTGAGATGCGGCCTTGGGATTCTAAAGGGCTGTTAGAAGAGGAGCCATTGAATTAACGGCAACGAATCAAGGAACAGTTCACGCAACTCACGCCACGTATTGAGAACGACTTGATAGCCTTTGTGGTAAAAGATGTACTGAGGATTGCACAGCCCTTCGATGTAACATTTCTCTGTGCCTTCAATACCATTCCAGGCAACCCTGTCCGTTGCAGTATATTGCACGCTGTATAGACCGATAGTAGAATCACCCTCGAAGAAATGGCGCGGCGGAGCCGTGTGCTCGGGGTCATTCCATCCGACACTGCCAGTGTGGGCTGCGGGTTAGCACGAATCAATCCCCTTAAACAACATGACATGCAGCGCTGTAAGCCACTACTAATCACTCACTTTCTATGATCCTCGGCTGTGGGATTACGATGGCCTTTTCCATAAGTTTGGAACGCTTCGTTCCCCCCGCCTTGAGTGCTGAAAGACGCGCGGCAGTTATCCGTGTTCTCCCAAACAATATCGTCCGTTTTAAAAAGCTCCAGTAATTGTTCGGTAATTTTTTTGAGAGCTTTGAGACCGAGTGAAGATGCGACAAAAACTCCGAGGAGGCCGAAGGCCTGGAATACGCGCTTGTCATGCTGGCCGTGCTCGGTGAGGTTCGTCGACCGCTCTATAGGGAGAGCCTCGCCCGTGTTCAACAACCTGATCACCTCATCGTGCATTGCGTACAGTTCTGACAGGCGCTCCGGATCCGTGATCAGTCTGCCCCCCAAAGGCCCAGTGTATCTGTCCCATTCTTGAGGTACAGCCGAAGCGACTTGAGCCAGCGGTGAAAGAGCTAGAAGGAGGTTGAGGAATCTCATATTGTGATGGCCATGCACAACACACAAAAGAACAAAGGGCAGCACGGAGCTATACTGTCTTGGCTACACACACAGAGTGATGCAACCGTCTAAGGATGAGATGCCTTCAACAATGGGCCCTCGATCTCAAAGGGCAGTTCCCGCTTTATATGCGTGTGCCCCTGAGCCAATATGCTGGGGGTTCCAGCAGTCAGCGAAAAGAGAGCTGAAAAATAGTAGCGAGCAGCCAAGTCTCTAGACTCATCTGTCATATTCAACTCCTTGCTAGCGCGGCACGTATATTCGCGCAAGTCCAAACTCCTATACTCCCAGCCCCAATATCTTCGATTGAGACGCCTTTCAACATGCTATAATCTAACTTTAGTAATAATGCTGTTTTTTCTAGAGAAGAATCAAAGCTATAGTAGTGTTTTAGAATATTCAAACCAATTTGGAGATCCATCAGTATCATTTTCCCTGAAACCGGTATTGGGGCATAAGCAGGAGTATAGTACCTGACAGTGGGACTCTCACCATCTCACGTAATATTGAGAGGACGTGACTCGGCTGGATGGTTGGAACCATGCCAAGCCCGGATCCTTGGCGTGAACGGTTTGGCTTCCTTGGTCAGCATCCAGCGTAGACTGGCTGACCCAATCCGCAAATCCATATCCAACCCACCCAATCCGCAGTTTGGGTTGGATCTAGGTAGGCCTGATCCAACCCATGTGGATATGGGTTGAACCTGCCTAATCCACATGGATATGGGTTAAACCATTGGGTGCAAGGGACTAAAGGCCTCAAGAACTGATAAGTTTATCTAGCCTAACCTAGGCCTAGATAGGGATATAATTTTATATAAATAGATAGAGAATGATTATATCTATCTATATATAAAATAAAATATTAGGTTTACTAAAAAATCTAGAGTTATGGTTGATTTTATATTTTAGATGATGGTGATCAGAATGGTGTTGGTAAGATATATATATCTCCGCACCACTTTTCATACTAAGCTTAGGGGGTACCCCTACCCCCCTATATAAGGCTCTTCTACCTTATATAATAGGTAGTATATAATATTTATATATTTAATTATTATATTATTAATTAAAATATATAGGTATCCTAGTGACGTGGCTAGAATACTAGGAAAATAGGTAGTAATCTAAATACTAGAGGTCACCTGACCAGGTAGTATGGATATATCCATTATCGTGACATGATCGCGGATAATCGGCGCCGGTGGCCCGAGATCCCGCCCGGGGGGGGGGGGGGTTGGTTGGTCGCAGTCCAACCCGCATGGATATGAGGGTGGGTTAGATAGATGGTGGATCAACCCATAATCCGCATGGGTTGGATCAAACATCATGTAGATCAATCCATATCCAATCCACGACCAGTCTAATCCAGCGTATCTAAGCCAAGACTTCGTCCCGTACCCAAATACAAGACTTCCTGTATGCTATGCTGTGGTGTTTACCATCATGTGATCTGATTGATCCGTCACGTTGCTGAGAGAATGGTCAAACACAGCCAATCAGCGGCATTTACCATTCTCATCACAGTATTCTTCACCTATCCCCAAGCATTCAAACTTTGTTTCAGTCTTCCAAGAGTTAGTGACCAGAAAATACTAATACAGTATACACAAGCGGAGCGAGTAAAGAAATAGAGGGAGCATGGCCATGGTTCTAAACTTACCCGCCTCTGCCTCTGTGACTTTTAGTTTCCATTCCAGATATCCAGTGGTGGTTGGACAAGTGTGTTGGTAGCTGTTAATGACTGAATGATGATTCATTCGACCAATCAGGTAGCACATATATATTAACTACTTTCCCCCGTACTATGTATCCCTGAGACTACTGTGGATCGCTTCGTATCTGATTCCACCGCTTCAACTCAATCACCCGAATCCAATGAGCCGCCAAATCATCAACAACTCTATTCGCCAGCTTCTTCAAATCCGCCTCGCTGTCACCACACTCATCCACAGCCGACTGAACAGCCTCACACTCCCAGCACAGGCAAATATGATATTCCATGCCAAAGCAAGAACGGGAGTTCCCCAGCTTTGCACTGCCTAGGACACGGCGTGGGAAAGCTTCTGCATTCAATGGATGATTCTGGGGACTTTTCACTTCAGCTGCACTATTTGGGTCGAACCTGCATCAATTTGATGCTAGCCATTTCTTTGGACAGTACTCGAGATGAATGTTATTGTCCCTATTCTTTGGCTGGTTGCTCCGGACTGACGGCATTACTGCGCGGGATCTTTCCGGCACCCATACCTGCGTCCATGAGTACTATGGAGGAATGGATGCAGAAGAGATCGAGGAGATCCAAGATGAGGAACGTCTTTTAATAGAGGAGCTTGAAGAACTCGTGTGTGAATTTGCCGCAACATTTGGAAACCTTTCCCTATCATTTTCGGGCTTCTTGACGGACTACTGGCTGGCCCGCACGCATGAGGTTCAATTTCCTTGAGGAGTGCTTAGCATAGAGGCGGTCACTCGGATTCTAGAGACTGGAGCCGTTCTGCATGAATAAGTACATCGACGAAAGTGTGTAAATTTGTGGCTTTGCTAAGTCATCCTGTCGGGTTTAATTCTGTCTGGATCAGCCGCGGCATTGCCTCCAATCCCATAAAACCAGTATGGCCCTTCCGATGTTATGTCCCCATTAATAGACATACTCAATCGTGCCTACGGGACTTTTGTTCTAATATCTGCATCGGCTGGGGATTATTTGGAAGCATTAAGGTGTTATGAATCCTGTTTGTCTTACTCTGGTTGACACGGCCTAATCTGGGGTTTGCATTGGCAATAGACTTCTCAGTGTCATTGTAATTACACTGAGGAGCACAAGTTCCACCGAGCGTCGTTTGTATACAACCACACGAAGAGTATCATTGAAGAATGGAGAGGAACTCCTTGGCGAAAGCGGCGGCCGTGGCTGCCGCGTATGGCTGCCATGTCTTCAGCTTATGCGAGTCGGCATAGTCGCAGATGCCGCGGACGACTAGGCACGGGAGCTCATCTATTAGACCGGGGGCTTCCATCTCAAGGCAGATGATGCCAAGCTCACGTTGGAGTTTATCCCGGGTTACCGCGTCTTTAACCACAATGTTGGATGAGCCAATCGTTCCGTAATGAATGCTTGGTGCTGTCGAGCCTCGCGGCTGTCGTTTCACCACCATCTCTCGTCCGCAGCTCTGACAGTCACTGCCGGCTTGGTGAGGATACATGGACTGGAAGAGGATATCGTTTTCCTCACCCTGGTGGATGTATTGTCCGTCTCTCATATCGGGGTGCCTTCGCAGCATCTCGGACAGATGATTGCTTAGTCCGTTTCCATCGAGCTTGTGTTGTGCGATCAGAGTCTCGAGGGTCGCCATGACGAATGGCGGCGGCTTATTCAAAGAACCTGTTCGTTCAAAATCCCTATCGGTATTGACCTTTCCACGGTCAAACTGTACCACACCCCCAAAGGTGTTGGTCGGTTTGCCGACAACCACGTCTCCGAGACGTATGTCGTGTTTGGGAGGATCAGGGATACCACCTCCAACCCCAACCAAGAGGCCGAAGCGCAGATACGGAAAATCGTTTCGCAACTGAGTAGCTACCGCCGCGGCGCTGTTGGTTCCGGTCTCGGGCATAACTGTCACGACCACATTGTGATGTTCTATTTGCCCCAGAACATACGTGTTTCTCTCTCGTGTGGACAGTACCGCTGTGTGCCTCTCATCCAGTATTGCGAGGATTGGTGCCATCTCAGTAGCCATGGGACAGATGATTGCAATGTTATACGTTTGCTGAGGGGAAACACTGGGAGAAAGAGCGGTTAAACTGAAGTGAGATGTGCTGGATGAGTGTAATATTGCTGTTGACGGTACGGTACAGTCAGTATTAGAATCCTTAGTAATTGAAAGTGATCGCTGCCCGAACTGGAGTTTCTTCAAGTGAACCGTTGTAGGTGGTAATAAGTGGATGGTTGCCGGCTGTTGGGTAGCGATTTTCGGTTCTTGTATGCCTGTAGAATATAGCTCGTGGACCTTAATTTTGAAGCCCTTGAATAGTTCCTCCTCCAAAGGGGCCACAACATTTTTGTAAAACAGGCTACGGAATTCAACATGATTGAATGAAGGTGCTTCCAGAGGCAGGAATTTACCACAATCTAGGCAGGCTTCAATAGCGGCAAGATAGTCGGCATACATGTCTTCCGAGGCTTCCTCCAATACACGGTTAACCATGAAGAAAGGAGTGTCAGGCGTCTCCTTTTGCGTGATTGCGTCGTAGTCCGCCTCGGTCGCCTGAATTGTCTCTCCATGATGGAGTTCTAAAAGAAGTTGTGCAAAATCCAAGATTAGGGGATACTTATGTATTCGATCTGCAAGCGGTTCCACTTCCTGCGAGTCGAGCGTGAGTGACCCAGCGATATATGGCTGCCGAATGTTCGGCAAGCGTTGCATTGAAGGGTCATATTGGAAGAAAATCTTGGTTGCATCCCAAGACCCCTGGATCCAAGGACTGTCACAGAGATATAACATTTTGTGGGCAAGAATCACGGCAAGGATCCTCTTTTCCTTCAGTGAGACCTTCGATAAATCCCTTTTGCTCTGGAATGAAAGGTAACCGTCGTCTAGCAAGGACTGTAGGGAAATAGTGGGAGACCACCCTGGGTTTGACCTTCTCTGACGCGGATTGGAACAATCCCAGAGCCGCTGGTCCGCGGCCAGGAGACGTAACAAGACCTTCCAACTCTGCGAGCGATGGATGGTGTCACATAGGTTCTGCACCTCCGGATACCTCTGACCTGTCTGAGTCATGCTGGAGAATAGCTGTAAGAATGACAATGTTTTCATTCAGCTGCAAGTTCTACCGTTTTACGTACCTCTGAACGGAGCATTTAGCTTCCTGCCATTTCAAGGGCCCCTGACATGTGGACAAGAACATGTCTACCTCCAGTTCAGTGTCAGCAGCTTGGTGAACTTGCAAATACAGCCTTGCTTCATGCCTGCAAACGCAATTCGTCGAGGAATTCACCAATGAGGAGTGAAGGGCGTGCAATAGCTCGCGAATTACGGTATCTGGACCGTCGTCCCGTTTGATCTCACTCTCAAAGTTGTCTGACTTCGTGTCTGTGACCGCATGATGTGGCTCAGCGACTGGTCGGTACAATTGTCTCATCGCTCGACTAAATGAGTTTATCTCTTGGAGAATTGTAACGTAATCCTTCTCTTCCTGGTGACGTATCATTGTGTCCAAATCCTGCAGATTGTGCACGTGTCCTCCAGCACCACCATGGATAAGCCTTTTCACAATCTGTAACTTCGGAAAGGATGAACTCGGTAAGCAAGGAGTTGGCAGTGGTGATGGGTCCCTCATAGAGCATTGTTTTATCGGTAGTGACTCGCCGTTTGTGCATGGATGGAAGGGCCGGCTAGATAACTCCTCGAGGCTCTTTTTCGTCTGTTTCTCCGAGTGAGTACTCGGCTTCGCTACGTCAGCTTTTTACCCCCCACACACGGACTTTGATGCCTTTTACACTAACAATGTTTGCCGACAACGAAGTTGAGCTCTTGCTATGATCGGAGGCCAGGATACCGTCGTCGAGCAGGTTTTCGAAGGCCGCAAGAAGGCTGTTCAACGCATCACAACATTGCGTAAATGCCGCGGCCGATAGTTCCCAGTGAGGATGGACGTAAAATAAAATCATCTGGACGTCGATCTGGAAGAAATCCCTGTAATTCCTGAGTCGCTCGGCGTGGAAATTGCCTGCAATGTCCCGTTGCTGCCCGTCGCCGCTATTGCGGGAAGGGCGGCTGAACAGATCGTGAGCTGCCTGGAGTAGCTCCCACTGCTCTGCGCCATCTATTGCAAGTTTCATTCTGGCAAATTAACTCATGATCCGCCTTCTAGTCGAATTTAGTGGACAACCTGGGAAAATAGTCGAGACAGAGGTGGGAGTTGAGAGCTGTGTCAGCATGGACCACGTGTCATGGTGGGGTTCTTGAAGCCTCATCGCAAAATAGGCGGTAATGTATCTCTCACTGCTATCTCTGGATGATCAAGACAGGGTTCTAATAGCGTCTCACAGCAACGGTCCTAGTAATAATCTGCCATCTACATCATGAGTAGTCACGGTATAGAATTCAAGGAAAGTAATGGCCCCTCTGTCAAAGGTCATATCTCTATCCAGGACTTGACCACCGACTGTTGCTTCTTATTCGAAAAGATCTTGAGTTCCCTGCACCCCAACTCAGAGGAGTCTGACTTGGTTGAGACTGAATTTGGGCGTCTCAATATCTGGGCTAGCAATGTCGGTGCCCTCGCTCATGAAGCGGCGTCGCTGGATCACCGCCTGCGCCACAGTCACGACATCAAGAGTCTAGTTGCACACCTGCTTGAGGTGTTGGAACGCAACTTGCGGCAAGGTAGAAAACACCGTCCTGAGTACCTCTCCTGGCTGATCGGTCTCTGAAGCCACGGTAGTCATTACTCAGTGGAAGAATATCGATGAAACGAACGCAGCAGTGACCCCCGAAAGGGAGGATTTGTCAAGGTTATTTCCTCAGGCGATACAAGCAGCCGGCGCAAGCATCGACAGACTGCACATACTGGCAAACATAATTCGGAAATCTTCGGCCCAGAGCAGAAATCTCCGCGCACGAGCGTTTGCGGAAGAAGAGGACGAGAAAGGCTTTGAAAAGTTTGCCTTGCTCATGGTGAAGCATCGATTCAAGGAGGCAAGCGAATCCCTGTGTGAGCAGCTTGCCATCTCAATGGCCATGCGTCGAAAGCAGTTTGTGTATAAATTGAAACATCAGAACAAACTAGCATTTCAAGTGAAGAAAACCAATGTCCGACGGCTGGCTATAGCATACGGCGAACGGAATACTGAGCGGCATAGCGAACAACCTGTCCCTACACTCTCAGTCTCCTTGCAAGAACAGGAGGTTAACGATGCGCCAGAATCACGAATTAAGAACCTGGCCCCATCGCAAACTAATGCCTCGACGCTAGACTCCAAGCTATTCCGCCAAATGCTACGTGATTCTAAGCCACCGCCGTCCACTGCTAGCGCAGGAACATCAATTCACGATGCGAAGCTAGCTTATCCGCCACCTCCTATCACCAGAGAGAGCCAAAAGGAATGTATTTGTCCTTATTGTTGTGAAATCCTGCCCACAGCGAAGGTGAATACTGATCGTTGGTGGAAGAAACACGTCGACGCTGACCTCGAGCCATACGTCTGTATTTCAGAAAAGTGCATGATGAATCCCGTTCAATTTGTCAAGTTCGACGATTGGAAACTTCATATGTCCCAGCATGGACCGTCGGAATATGCATGGAACGTGCACTTGCTTGCCTGGCTCTGTCCGATATGCAAGACGCTCGAACCGTTCCATTGGAAGGAAAACTTTTTGCATCATATGAAATCTAATCATTCAGAAAGATTCACCCAGTCTCAATTATCGACACTTGCCAGGCGCAGCACGCTGTCAGTCTCACGGGACATTTTCGTGTGTCCTTTGTGCAACTGCGTTCCACAAGAGATCGAGCGCATTCCATCTGAGAAGCGAAAAAACTTTTCGGCCTTGCTACCGAAGCATATTGCCGGTCATCTGAAATCTCTTCTTTTTCTTTCGTTGCCGTATCGAGACGATATTAATGAAGACATGTCGGGTGTCAGTCGTGACCCGTCTTTTGGAGGTTCTGCAGGCAACAAGTTAGAAGCAAATAGCGCTATCGATTCGGATCTAGCTCGACCTTTCGTGTCAATGAGTTCCTGGGAGGTAGAGAGAGAGGACTCAAATATAGAAGCCTTTGCAAATGACAAGGAGATGGACTTTACATGGGACTTCATACCTATCAAGTCATATGATAGGGAAAAGGACCCGATCATTCAAAGAATAATCGCAGCTCTGCGGAAGCGAGAGGCTGGACCCTCGAGGACATTAGATCTGTGGCAAACCGCGTACAACGAAGAAGGCTCTCTCTCGGTGACAGATGGAAGTCGAAAGAAGCGCCGTGGATACTACGGATCTCCTGTCCCATCTACCAACGAGTACTCCGCGAATCAATGGACCTACAATGATTACACAGTCGCTGTGGTGTGCGCCATGGGTTTTGAGATGCGCGCAGTCCGCTACATGCTCGACGACGAACACCCCCGTTTGCCCACCAAGCAAGGTGATTCAAGCCTATATGTCCTCGGCGAAATCAGCGGTCACAATGTCGTGATTGCCTGTCTTCCAGGTACCCAAGGGAAAGGAGCCGCGGCAATCGTCGCCAACAACATGCAACGTACGTTCCCTTCAATCAAATGGCGCCTTCTGGTGGGCATCGGAGGTGGTGTGCCGAGCCCAACACATGATATCCGCCTCGGTGATATTGTTGTGAGTATGCCCGACGGACTATTCGGTGGAGTAGTTCAGTATGACCTAGGGAAGGATGTGGAGGATGGCTTCACCCTTAAAGGATTCCTCTGGCCACCCCCTCCCATCTTGAGGAGTGCTGTGGAGATGATGCAATCTGATCACTTGACAAAAAAGAAGAAAGTCAACGCCTTCTTGTCAGAAACGCTGCAAAAGTGGCCTGGCCTCGCAGAATATCAACGGCCACCAGCAGAATCCGATGTTCTCTTCCAAACGGATTATCCTCATGTACCTGATCAGGCCACATGCAGGAGATGCGAAAGGACTCAAATTATTAATCGGCCTTCACGTGTATCTGATAATCCTAAGATTCATTATGGATTGATTGCCTCCGGGGACCGAGTAATAAGGAGCACTATTAAGCGAAACAAAACGGGCCAAGACATCGGCGATATCCTCTGTTTCGAAATGGAAGCAGCCGGCATCATGACAGAGTTTCCATGCATTGTAATTCGCGGCATCTCCGACTATGCAGACTCTCACAAGAATGATAAATGGCAGCACTATGCAGCAGCGGCGGCAGCAGGGTGCGCGAAGGAGCTTCTTTCATATCTGGACCCAGAGGATCACCAAATCCCGCCAATATTGTCCCTTCGGCAGCCGTTGCACGGCCAATTCAACGTTAGTCGTGGACTGCCCGGAAGTACCAACATACATACACCTCGCCAGGGTTCCCCTGCCCTACAAAGCACGGTCTTAGGTCAGCATCCGAGGGGTGGAATCCCGTCCCTCAGTGAAGAGCATAAACGGATGCTTCTAGACTCATTGAAATTTGACCAAATCGATGCTCGCCATATGGCCATCAAAAGAGCACATGCAACGACTTGCAGATGGCTCCTCAGTAAGCCGGAGTACCTTGACTGGCTTGATAACACCAAGCTCAACGAACATCACGGCTTCTTGTGGATGAAGGGGAAGCCTGGGACCGGCAAGTCAACAATAATGAAATTTGCCCTTGCGGATGCCCGGAAAATGATGAAGGACAGGATAATCGTGTCTTTTTTCTTCAACGCACGAGGAGAGGACTTGGAAAAGTCTACAGTTGGATTATATCGAGCCTTATTGTCAGAGATTCTTGAACGAGTCCCAGAACTTCAGTGTGTCTTCGACACCCTAGAGTTAAGGACTTGGAACAGCGGCGGACATCACCAGTGGGGTGTTGAGTTGCTGAAAGATCTGTTCGAACAAGCAATACTACGCCTTGAACAGTCTTCCCTGATGTGTTTCATTGACGCCTTGGATGAGTGTGCGGAACATGAAGTGCGTGACATGATATCATTCTTCGAACATGTTGGCGAACTTGCTGTTGATGCTGGAATTCGATTCCGAGTCTTACTGTCAAGCAGACACTACCCGTATATCACTATAAAGAGAGGACTGGAATTGATTCTAGAGGGCCAAGAAGGCCACTTCCAAGACATCGCCAATTACGTGAATAGCGAACTGAAAATTGGGCACAGCAACCGCGCCATGCAGATCAGGGGTGAAATTCAAGAGAAAGCCTCTGGAGTTTTCATGTGGGTAATTCTTGTTGTGGAGATCCTCAATAAGGAGTATAACAGTGGCCGTGTCCATGCTCTTCAACAAATACTTCACAGGATCCCTGGCGACCTGCATGAGCTATTCCGCGATCTTTTAACACGGGACGGCCATAATCGAAATCAGCTACTGTTATGCATCCAATGGGTGCTCTTTGCAAGGCAGCCATTAAAACCAGAGGAATTGTATTTTGCCATTGTTTCTGGCATTGAGCCAGGAGCTTCAACAGCGCGGAATACCGATGTGCTCACAATTGATGTCATCAGGAGATTCATCCTCAATTCATCCAAAGGACTCGCTGAAGTTACACACTCCAAGGCTCCGACGGTCCGGTTCATTCACGAGTCAGTTAGAGACTTTTTCCTCAAAGAAAACGGGCTCTGCAAGATTTGGCCTGACTTTGGAAGCAACTGGCAAGGACAAAGTCATGACCAACTTAAGCAGTGCTGCCTTACCTATCTCAACGTCGATGTCTTTAAACATGTTGATCTCAGTAAGCCACTAGCGAAAGCATCTTCCAAGGAAGCTGCAAACCTCCGCGACTCGGTTGCTAAAGCGTTTCCATTCCTGGAGTATGCCGTACGCAACGTGCTGTACCATGCTGATGCTGCTGAAGGTAGTGGCATCGCTCAAGGAGATTTTATCCATGGCTTCCAGCTTCCCTATTGGGTGCAACTCGACAATCTATTCGAAAAACACGAAGTACGCCGGCATACACAAAACATGAGTCTACTGTATATCTTAGCAGAGAACAATCTGTCGAATCTCATCAGAGTTCACCCTTCTGTCATATCCTGTTTTGATGTGGAAGGAGAGCGCTACAAGTCTCCCTTTTTCGCGTCCCTTGCTACCGGAAGTGGGAAAGCTCTCCAAACACTTCTGCAAGCCTATACGGCGGACATGCACCCGGAAAGTCGACTGCGTGAGCTGTGCGACAAATATTGCCAGGACGGAAGCAGAAGCCCTAACCTGGGACGCGATTTTAACTTCTCAGACCATAGGACCGTCCTGTCACGTATAGCAGAGCTTGACGAGCTATTATTCGCTTTTCTCCTTGAAACAGGGAAATTTATGCCGGACTCCAGAGACAAAAATGGGCAGACACCCCTGTCATGGGCAGCAGTGAATGGAAATGAGGAAATAGTCAAGCTGCTGCTAGCAACAAACCAAGTTGATCCAGATTCCAAGGACAATGATGGGCAGACACCGTTGTCATGGGCAGCAGCAAGCGGGAATGATGTAATAGTCAAGCTGCTACTGGCAACAGGCCAAGTTGATCCAGANAATAGTCAAGCTGCTACTGGCAACAGGCCAAGTTGATCCAGATTCCAAGGATAAATTTGGGCAGACACCGCTGTCAAAGGCAGCAGAGAAAGGAAATGAGACAATAGTCAAGCTGCTACTGGCAACAGGCCAAGTTGATCCAGATTCCAAGGATGATTTTGGGGGCACCCCGCTGCTAGGGGCAGCAGCATTGGGAAATGAAGGGAGGGGAAATGCGGCAATAGTCAAGCTGCTACTAGCAACAGGCCAAGTGGATCCATGTTCCAAGGACGGTATTGGAAAGACACCACTGTCAAGGGCAGTATACAATGAAAATGAGGTAATAGTCAAGCTGCTACTGGCAACAGGCCAAGTTGATCCAGACTCCAAGGATAATGAAGGGCGGACACCACTGTCATGGGCAACAGGAACAGGAAATGAGGCAATAGTCAAGCTACTACTGGCAACAGGCCAAGTTGACCCAGATTCTAAGGATATTGAAGGGCGGACGCCACTGTCATGGGCAGTATACCATGAAAATGAGGCAATAGTCAAGCTGCTACTGGCAACAGGCCAAGTTGATCCAGACTCCAAAAGGGCGGGGATGGCGGCGAGGGAGGATATCGAGGACGATCGGGGGGGTAGACGAGAACGCAAGAAGCAGAATGGAAGACAGGACGAAGACAACTACGGAGAAATAGACGAGGAATTAGAGATAGAGGGCGGCGGTGGAGGGAAGGAACATGATAGCGCCGGGGGCGAAGCTGCGTCAGGAGACAGATGTTTACAAAGGAAGGATTATGAGGACGAAAAGAGATAAGAATGAGGAGCAAGAGGAAGGAAGGGGAGGAGGGGTTGGAGGTGGGAGGTGGTGGTGAATGGGAGACTCAGCCGTCTAAACGGCAGTGAACACTGTGAAAATGTCGTCGAGGTAATATTTTGATAATTCCACTTTATCCTGCAATCCTGAGAGAGTCTCAAACTGTTCGAATAGAATCTGCCATTTCTGCTTGAAACTGTCTGAAGATGCTTTACAGCGAGTGTTTAGAATCCACTGCGTTCTCAGGACAAAACCAGAGAAGCACAGGATGTATTAACGAGTAGTGTATCCACCGTTGGCAAAGATTGTCTGTCCAGTGATCCAAGCACCTTCAGTGCACAGGAAGCGAATGATAGGAGCGATGTCCTCGACCATGGTCAGACGGCCACCCATGCCGTTAGCTTTGTGGAATTCAACTGCTTCAGGTGACTCCTGAGGATAGAAGAACGCTATAATGGTGATTAAAAGTCAGCCTCCCATCCACGCAACCATGAGACAAGCAGAAACATACGCGTATCCATTGGTCCAGGTGCGACATTGTTGACACTGACTCTGCGAGACTGGAGTTCCTTGCAAACTCCCCTATGATAGCGTTAGCCCTGTGTTTCGAGGATGGTAGAATGCGAGATACCGAGTGAAATGCTCGACTGGAGCTTTGCTGCCAGCGTAAGAAGTATAGTAGCCAGTGAATGCGCCAAGGAGGGCAGTCACAATAGTGATGATCTTTCCGCCATCTGTGACATGGGCAGCAGCTTCCTTGAGAACAAAAAATGCTGTCTTGGAGTTCACACTGTGGCACAAGTGTCAATTAATATGCTACTCGGTCTTCCCAATGGAATCACAAGCACTTACGCAAACATCGTATCATATTCCTCTTCGCTGATCTCCGTGATCGGCTTCTTAAGGACCTTTCCAACCGTGTTGACCACAATATCGATATGGCCAAAGTCGCGAAGCACCTCTTGGAATAGCTTCGTCACCGCATCAGCAGAAGTCAGGTCACCCTGATAGAAGGAAACCTTGACCGAAGGATTCTTCTTCTTGAGGGCGGCCTCGAGTGCGGCTGCATCCTTCTCGCCGCCTTTTGAGTGATAGTGAAGGGCAAGATTAGCGCCAACGCTGGCCAGCTCGAGGGCAGTTTGAGCTCCAAGATTCTTGACGCCGCCAGTAATGAGACCAACCTTGCCATTGAGAGCCATCTTTGTATTGAAGTAGGATAGTAGTAGTTGAAGATTTCGTGCAATTGATTGACTGAGGATGTGCCCTCTAAATTTTGATCGAGGGAACTTCACTCTTCTTATATGTCCATGATAGCATCAAACCTAATGATGATGTTATAGCGATAGCTTGATGGTGGTGATGGTCTGGCCTTCATATTGAAGACTCATGCAAGATCCATAAACGGAAATAGTGGGGCGTACTCAGAATCACTCCGTTTCATTGGTCAAGAGCAGCGGGGTCAGAAATCTGATGTGATATCCCAATTAGGAAGTCTCCACATAGTTGCCTCGATAGTTCTCCAATGCAATCGTTCTTGCTAAGTAGCATTGTGAACTTATGACAAGACCTGGGTAAACTCAGCCCAAAATCTCAGACCGAGAAGCTCCGTTGGTGTTTTGCTAGCTCATCACAGTGCGGTCTAGCGTTGTCAAGGTCTATCCTGACGTCATAGACAATAGTAACGTTCCCACTCTACCTCGTAACCTCGTAGGCTTGTAGTGCCTCGAGACACTTCCCTCACGTCGGGTTACATCAACACTGTGGGTATCATGAGCTTCCGAGGAAATGGCCAGGATTCGGGTCCGGTAAACTTCCATCCGGTACGAAGGTAGCCCCCGGAAAGTAGTAGGTTCCAGATCCATGCAAAAATGCCGCGTTGCGGTCAACCCAAACCACGATTCGATACAGCAAGCCGTCTAGGCCTAATGTTGCGAACCCGCCTCGTAAACTGATGGCTCGCACAAGACCTTGCATGTGAACATTGTAGTTTTCAAAACTGCCGAACATGGCTTCATAGCTTGCCATTTTTGCTATAGCCCCTATCAAAGCATCGTCTATATCCTCGGGTCGCGGGTCTTCCAAACGCTGGTTGATGGAAGATATAGCTTGACACCGGAGATCGAGGAGGTCTATTCTTAAGCTCCCAGGATGTGCCTGGAGAGAGGCATAATGCGATGCAGCAAGAAGCATCACAACCCAAAACAAAGCTGGCTCGGTCATCACTAATGGAAACCAACTGGTTCTCAAGAGACCATGGTTCCCAGGCTGGTCAAGTTCTGGAATATCAACGGCCATGTGTACCAAGTCTTTGGGTATTCGTCAAATTTCCCTTCTCATCGCTTCATATCTCCAGGATTGAATTACTTACAGTGATCGACAAGCTTCGCGGTCCAAGGTCGACTTGGGATAGGATACGATTGGAAAGGGTCCACACGGAGTCCACCTATTGTAGGTGATATGCAGATTGTGTAGTGGTCGGAAGAAGAACCGGGGTCAACCTGATCTCGAGTGCCGTTTTCTTCTGTAGCTAATATGGCTTTCTTTCGGGGACCAGATCGCTTCCATTGCTGGCGTGTCACATGCGAACGGAATTCGCGTTCTTTCGCGCGCTCGAGGGCGTCCCTTGGCTTCTTGACGTTGATGAAAACGTAGTCCATTCTTCGCACGATAGTGGGCAGCGTGAACGCGCTACTTTCCGCATAGATCACCAGCTCGGGAATTGAAATTTTATCAACACGCTCAATAGAGGCACTTGGAGCGATTACAAATGGTCACTGTCCTGCAGAGGAGATGGAATCCTGAAGAGGAGAGGGGGGAGAGGTAGGGAGGACAGCAGCAACCCCACTAAGGCACAATCGCATTCTGCACAGCCCAACCACCATAATTGGATAGCTCTATACCGTATGGAACATTAATTATTTTTCCGAAATGTCTGCACCACCCACTGAACTGACCTGTTAGATTAATCACTGAATGACAATTCATTCTACCAATCAGGAAGCACATACATACTAACTAATGTACTTCTTACTATCCTTGAGGCTACTGCGGATTGCTTTTTCCTTGATTCCGCCGGTTCAACTCAAACACGCGATGAGCTGCTAAATCATCGACAACTTTATTCGCCAGCTTCTTAAAATCCGCCTCGCCATCACCACACTCATCCACAGCCGACTGAATAGACTCGCACTCCCAGCACAGGCAAATATGATACTCCATGCCAAAGTAGTCTCTGAACAGCAACGACGTCTCGTCCGACTGCGTCCGCAGCACCCCCGGCGGGATGGTATCATCGTGGTTGATGAACCTCCCTGCCCGTTTCTCCATACTGGCTTCGTACATGCTCGCCGAGCATTGATGCGTATGCCATACTAGGTCGATGTCCAGCGTTGGCACAAGAGTTGTTCCCGGGCGGAGTTTGAATAGCTGTAAGAAGTATTCGTAGCGCGTGACTGCTCTGGATAGCGTCCCGTGGACGCCAGGGCTGCGGATCCAAAGGTATCCAACCATCTTGTCGACGAAGACGCGTTGGCGCTCGACTGCGGCGAACAGGTATGTCGCGTATGGGCCTGGATAGGCGGCTGCGTGGCAGGCGGCCGCGAAGGCGCTGTGCGGTGACCCTGCTTTCTTCTCCCGACAGAGACTGTCGAGCTTATTCAGATAGAGACGATTGGCAGGTGCCGAGTCCCGGTAAGCGAGTAGAAGAGAGGTATAGGGCTCGGGCTTCTGGCTGAGAAGGTAGGCGAGCAGGTCTGCTTCCTGGCCAGTCAAATTCGTAAAGTGCTGCCTTGCGTCGGAGGGCAGACTGAAAGTCCAGTCTTTGTCATTGATGCATTGGTGCTAAGCGGTCAGCTTGGACTAAAATTGAGGACAATGACTTACAATCTTGTCCCATGGGAATACCACACGCCGCATACGCTTGATCCCACTGGTCTCGCAATACGTCCTGAACCATCCCGGGTTCAAAAGGGCCGAATGCCACGCAGTGAGCACATCTAATCATTAGCTGTTGCTCTGGGATAGACGGATAACATACCCAATGGAGGACAAGCCGGCAGCTCAAGGACTTCATTCTCATTCGACGCTAAAATCTCGTCCATCTTCTTCAACCAGACAAAGAATCGGGCGACTCCAAGTCTGAGATAGAATGGCCATTTGACCTGCCGTTTCTGCGCAAACTTATTATCCTTTACCTCGATCGTTTTCCGCGTGTATCGTTGCACCACAGTCCGCTTCTCCGGCTTGATGTCGAGGATCGCGTCCAAGCTACTTGAATTGAGAACTTCTCGGCGGATATGGTTGATCGCCTGCAACAGTTCCAAGTGAGCGGCACATTGAGCGATGTTGGGGAGGGACATAGAATCCGTCCATTCAGGCACATATATATCCTTGAAGACCCTAGGATCTGGGATTTGTATGTCTTCACTGATGTTGGGAAACTTAAACTTGCGAACTGTAGGGGAGGCTAACAGCGAATTGCAGCGCCTGCTGTAGCTGTGCAGCTCTGTCTGCGACGCCGTGCATAGGACGGTCATTTTGATTGTAATGCGCAAGACTGAATTCTGCTTGATTCGGCTCCAGTGTTACATGCTCATTCATATATGCCTTAGCTCGGGCCCTCTAATAGTCAGTTGATCACATTCCGCCTTGCCAAGCGTGAGGCGCAGCTTGCCAGCCATTTGATGCGCCCGAGCGGCTTAATCCCCATGATCCCGAGAATACGAGAATCACAGCCGCCAGGCTCGGATAGAGCACACGTGAACTGTTACTGCTACCTGGGCGCAAGGCTGATTGAACGATGTTGCCTGCACCCTTGGCTCTGGTGCATCCGAATAGCTATATAAGTTCATACTGCACTCCACAGTCATTCAATCAGCACATTAACATCCTAACTGATATTTATCCAATGTCGCGACTGTCCCGGTTATTTGACAAGTCTAAACAGACTCAAGCCGTTACCTCAGAAAATCCAGGCAACTCGGCCTGGACTGAAGTCGGCAATGCGGCCGACCATCTTCTGGCAGAGCTTGAATCTCTCTACTGGACTGGTGTCAACCAAGAACTGGACTGCATTGCTTCCACCTTACGACAATGGCAGCAACGCCAGTTCCAGCATATCCGCCCAGACGCAGACAATACACTGGTCAACGGCTTCGACACCTTCATAGCCAATGTCCTCCAGCGGCCAACCGCGACACCTCCCAAGCTAGCCTCCCAAGAATCCACCAGGATCGACGACAAAGGGTGCCTGGTCAGGAGCGCAGAAATCCGTGCGATGGAGCTGGCAGCAGCGAAGATCAGGACGCGCGTGAATGTCGACGTCCATAAATGCCTGACACAACGTCCTGTTGAGACAGATGCCGCTAAGCGACGAGCACGGTTGCTTCTTCAAGCAGCTGGATTCTTGGATATCGAGAAAACAATTGAGCACTCACCAGCAGGAAATACGCCCAGCCCTCTCACTCCGCAGCTACAAATGACCAAGAAAGGCTTCAAGGGGTGTCTGGCCATCTCAGTCCTCCCTTGTAGTGAATGCAAGCGTGTCATCCGAGGGAGTATGTATCAAGCCACTGGTGTGTCCACCCAGACAATCTGCGAAGATTGCTACTGGGAGCATCATTACAGAGACCCTTCGTTCACCAAACAGTACAAGCATTCCATCGCGTCTGAGGTTACCGCCGGGATCAGTAAGCATGCTCGCTGCAGTTCTTGTCGAAAACATCGGAATGACATTCAACGGCCGTATGAGCTACAGACTAAAACAGAGGTGCATATGCTGGCCGACGCGAAGTACTTGAGTGTCAAGGACTTACAGAAGAAGTCAGGTCTTGGAGCTAGACCTACTCCCTTGGCCAAGGTTATTCAAAATGACTACAAGAGTCGGCCTAACATCTACTATGCCGCTTCGAGGTCTGGCGAGATGCGCCTGGTGGGGGACGAGTGGCTGTACAAGGATTTCGTGCAGGAGAATCCATGGAAGAACATTCGCGTGGCCGTTCGGGTTGGGCCACTGGTCATTGAGAATGGCAGTAAAGAGTAAGTCTCCTCGGCATGTTGGTGAAAGTGCTAATGATAGCAGGAGTCGAAATGGGGCCGGAATATCCCTCCGCGATCCAATTTTCGGACAAGAGCAGCAAAAGGCGGACCTCACTTGCCTTGCCATCTGTGGAGAGACAGAAAGACAGCTATGGCGCCATGCCAGCGCTCGTCCGCAGAAACGGAAACGCTTCCAAGCGGTGCTGAAGCAAGTCGTCGGGACTCCTTTCACCGGCTGGCCGTTGTCGGCGGCTGAGGAGGAGATCATCGAGCTGCTGGTGAAAGCGAGCAGGGACAGCACCGAGGGTACACGCCAGGAACTGCACAACAGAGTTAAAGCGTTCTTCAGTCCATGGGTGTCGGTTTACTTCAAAAGTATTGTGGGGAAGTTACTTGACAGCAAGACCACACTCGCATGGGACGGATTGGCCAATAACTGCCAGCAATTCTGTGACTCACTGATCGACTGGCAAGAATTTGGGTCACTCCTCGCTCAGTCCTCGATCACTGGCTCCGACAAGGATCGCCCGGAACCACTCTACCGCATGAGCTTCGTCTGTCGCCGTCGCGCAACACAGGATCCATTCCAACACCCAGACACCATCATCAACGTCCCATACGGACTGACAGAGGAGTATATCCGCCGCTTTCACTTTGGCTGCTACGCCGGCCCCGACCTGATCGATTCACTGCACGAGTACTGGTTCGACTGGGGCGGATTCAACAGACACCTCTATCCCAATCAAAACCTCTTCCCCTGGGACTGCACCGAAGCACTGCACCGCTACCCCGTCAAATGCGGCGCCTGCACCCTCTCTAAGCACGTCTGGGCCTTCCCCTTCGACTCCTGGTCAATCATCTCCCTGCACCTATCCAGAGACAGATTCACCTATCCTGCCTCCGAACCGAGTCCGACTTCTACCCGCGAAGCATCATGGATAAACAACCGCCTCACCCTCCTCACAGCCCTCGACTCCCTCTCCGCCGGTGCAACAGCCATGTCCCAGAGCCAGCAGTTCAAGCTATGGCTCCAACCTCAATCCAGCCCATCAGCCGATCGAATCAAACTAGGTGGTATCAACCGCGCACAGCCATGCAGCCATGCGCTGGAGCACCGCACCCACGATGACTTCTTTGTCGCAAGGTGGGTTTCCAACTATCAGTCCTCCATAAGGGCCTACGAAACCATGCGGGATAAGCGGTACTTGCCGGTGACGATACAGGAAAGGGAATTGGTGTTCTGGGGCATTGAGGGGGGGGAGCCGCCGGGAGAGTATCCAACTTGGGTGGTGCAGTACTCGCAGGTTCCGAATGCGAACTTTTCAGTGTCTGTCGGTCATACTACTGGGTGCGGAGCTTGTGGAACACAGGCGACTGCGGCTGCTTGTGGTGCGAACTGTGGTGCGAGCTGTGGGAGTGGTGGTGCAGGTGGTGAAGGCGGGGGCTGCGGTGGCGGAGAGGGCGGAGGAGGCGGCGGGAGTGGAGGAGGAAGTGGAGGAGGAGGGAGCGGAGGAGGGGGAAGTGGAGGAGGTGGGAGTGGAGGGGGAGGGAGTGGAGGGGGATGATGTGGAGGAAGTTGATATTCAGGTGTTCGTATGGCTGGGCCTTTCGATCTACCTCAGCAGCATCTCATATGAATGGTCATCGTCTACGGAGTAGGTTCAAGTATCCCTCGAACTGACTCGTATCAGGTCCCTTTGGTGGGTCAAGACATAAAAATGAGGTAAAGTAGAGGTTCAACTATGATTTATCCATTGCAGGTTGCTATGTTCCTGTAGCATGTAGTAATTGGGCAGTCAGTCTAGCTTCATAGCTGTGGTTTTATCAGGCACAGGCTCACCGCTGGGGAAGTTCGACAATGCATGGGAGAGCATGGAAACAGAGAGACGCTTCTCTTCCTACCGTATATTGAGCAGATCGACACGCAGAGTTGTGATCAGTTTGTATGGTTCTCAAAGACACAAAAAAATTTGTATCATATGGCATGTGAGATAATATCCACATATTATTCCTCCTGAATAACGTCAGAATCCCCCACAATGTGATGTCCCTAGATGCGATGGACAACCTGCTGCGCGCGCGTGTGTTCCTGGCGAGACTTTTCCCGCATGTCGAGTGCATCGATCATGGACATGGGCCACGACTCAGTGTCATCGAGAATCAGATGGCCGGCCCGCCGTGGATCTTGGAAGGTGAAGCAGTCGCCCTTTCCGGGCAGGTACGGATCCCAGAGTGTGAACTGCCCACAGAGGCGGATCTCCTTCAGGATAGTTGCAATTTGGCAAATCCAAAATCGGTGACATGGCATAACTGGCATAGATTGAGGAATATCATATGATGCTGCTGCTGCTCGTACGCTTTTGAACTGGCCGTTTGGTATGCTTTAACCGCAAGTGATAAGCATTCTAATTTAACAGTTGAATCTTTGTTTTGATGCCATATTGGAGATGATGATCTAAAGGACGCAAGGTCACAGGGGTTCTGAGGTGGGCTAGCTGGCTAGCTCGATTGGGTGACACTCAGTTGTGGATTACGTTACAATAACTACAACCCATCCCTCCGGTTTGCAGCTCTTGAGCTACGTCTTGTCTATTCACCTATAGATAGCCTGAGGAGTTTGCGGGTGTCAACTACCTATTATACCCTGCCTGCGTTTCCTCTAATTCTGTTCTGTGACTTACTACCCTTTCTCTTCACTAGCTACCTCTTCAAAATGCCTTCGTCCAATGCCGCAACGATCGCGTTCTCGATCCCTGAAATTCTAGAGATGATCTTGCTGAAACTTGATATGCGCACACTACTCTTGTCCCAACGAACCTGTCGCTCTTGGTTCACGACGATCAAATACTCAACTGCTATGCAAAAGGCTATGTTTTTTACTCCCATCGAAAAGATTCCAAATCAAGAGCCGCTTCAGAATTCTATGCTGAGAGAAGCATTCTCTGCACTCTTTGATTCCACTGACCCCATCGACCCTGATGATGAGTATGACTACGGTCAATCTGCCCTTTCTACATTCGACATGATCAAAAAGCCTCAAAAGCTAGCCGCGTATCTCCGACCGGAAGCAAGCTGGAGACTAATGTTGGTCCTGCAACCGCCGGCGCATAAGTTTGCAGTGTTTGAGGAAGGGTTCGGAATGGGCCATGGGTATAGATTTTTCGAAATTCCCGTAAGCCATATTCGACGTAATCGCACGCAGGGTAGTGGCAAACTAACAGCCCGAATACAGGGTGAACCGAAAGGATTCTCGGACGGCCTGCGCATGGGAGACTTCTTTGAGGAGCTGGTCTTTGGTAACAATGGCCAGTACGCGCGCTGCGATGTAAAACGTGTTATTTGGTGGTGTCGGACCCTTCCGCGTCCGCGACACCCCTGTTGTGAGATGAAGGAAGTTTCTACCAGAATCTTGAACTTTGAGATTGTGGTTTGGCTTCGCTACTATTCTAACGGGTGCACGGAGTCAGATGATGAGGAGCCGACACAGGATGAAGAAGTAATGGACAGAATTAAGGCTGCCTATAGAGAGATGGGAATACAGCCACGACTTCATGGGATGACTGGGCAATTCGAAGATTCGCATTTATGGGATTAGCTTGATGACATATACATCTCTGCATTATTGAAACGAATGCATTAGCCGCTCGGCAGCAATCGGATTTTTGGGAGCATCATCACCAGGTAACTAAAGGTGATGATGGGATCCTAAGGTCATCTGCAAACAATGCATGAAAGTCCTTATTCTGCCCCAGCGAGGCCGGAATGGTACCTTAACCATGTTCAAGCATACCGCTAAATCCTGGATGTTATTAGAAGATAATATTATGACAGATACTGCTGAATCTAAGCTTGTATCATATCTTGATCCTAAGCACCCTGAGTCATTGCGTAAAAATATGGCCATGCTGACTGTGGATACCATCCAGGTGATCAGTTGCTTAGCTACAGTAGAAGAGGATTCAATACTGGTGCTGGTTGGATATTACATGACATTTCATAATAAGAGTGATATATTTCTAAGGAATGAGGATGGGACACTAGAGAGCCCTCTACCCAGTCAATGATGCAGCATTAATGACCCATGCATTACATGCCTGAGATATGTGTGGTATTAGTGTCAGGGTTATAGAATTATTTAGCAAGTCCATCTCTATTATATTTCATCTCTGTTATTATACTGGAATGCCCTTAATCATAGTAATTATTAAGTAGTTACAGACTAGCTTACTGATATTTAGTATAAATGAAAGAAAGAGGCATTCTGTATCTCTAAGCAATATTAATAGTGACGATCATGGTGGCAATGATTATGCTAATAGAAATGAAGATAATAATGATAGTAATACTTTACCACATCCCTAGAGGTAATAGTGATAAGGGATCATTACATTTTCTCTACTCGTGCCGGCTTTCTTTCTGCCGCTGTATACCAACTCCGTTGGCCTACCATCTAGTGCTGGAGCGGGTATTGTGGCAGCCTTCGATTTTTGTTCCGCCATTGGACGGCCTTCTTGTGGGCTTGCCTGTGATCAATTCGGATCGCGGAATATACTTTTCTTAACACTATTGCTTCGCATGGCCAAGTGTTTTTAGTCTGTGGCGTTTTTTCTAGTTCAATTAGGTCCCCTGTTGTCTTTTATGTTTGCCGACCGCTCCGCGGAGGGGGGCTCCTTTTCCGCGACGCCAGTTGTCGTAGGCAATATATTTGGGTTGGCCGAAGATGCCTGTTGCTGTGGGCATAATCATTAGTGAGTGGCTGGCGGGTATCTACTTAGTTCCCCAATTGCCTGTTGAATTCTGAATGCATCCGGTGTTTAAGAAGGCGGAATTGGTGCTTGTCAGCCAGCTATTCTCTGTGCCGGTTCTGTGGCTACAGCTGACCTATTATCTTAGACTCCGTAGACTGATCAAATGCATCTAATCCTTAGACAGGAGTAACAAATACTAGGGATAAACCATTCGTCGTCTCTACCGACCACCGGACGGGCAGCGGGAACTCAACACTATCCTCTTTAGCGTCTCTCTCACCAAACAGTAACGTAATTCATGGCTATCTCGGCCACACGGTTAAGTCGGCCACCCACTCCTACCACCAGTTTTTGAATTAATATAATTCAACCAAAACGATATCAATTCGTCTCAAATTAGCGCTTATTACATTGATTAATCTTGTGGCCTAGCTCCCTACACCTACTACACCTTGGCGGAGCCCTCTTATATGGTAAATCTGCCTGATTCGCTAATTCACCTGCCTCATATGATACCACCTGGTTCTCTTCCACTGGCTGCTCTAGCTGCTGAGCTAGCTATAGACCCTCTGCGATAGTTAGGCCTCCTTCATGAGCTATCTGCTGATTTGACCGTGTATGTTTCTGGCGTTTCTTCTCATTTGCGCGGCGTAAATCAGCGTTCTCCTGCGCTAGTAGCGCAGTATTATGTAATGCTATACAGTGGCCCTTGATAATCTGGTCTAGCATAGTTTTTGATGGGCTTGGAGGGCTAGTTGACCGCTGCTTTAGCAGATCTTTAAGCATTGAAGCTTGCTTTTGTAGCTGAATCACAGTCCTAGGTGTTTTTGGTGTGAATTGGCTAGATCTGCTGCTTGGTCGGCTTCCTGGTGGTGTTGGCGTATGGAGTGAGATATTTAGCTTTGATAGCACATGCTCTGGCTCAAACGGTGTAATACCAGTAGCAGCAAAGCTAGTCTGGATAGTCTGTAGCTTAAAGGCCTCAGCTCGCGCGCGAAGGTAGTCTGCGAGAAAGTCAAGCTTATCAATATGGTTATAGCCACATCGGGCGAGGTCGCTCACGAAGCGACCATACGCGCGCTTAAGCGGAGCAAAACACCCAACATCAAGTGGCTGTAGGAGATGCGAGGAATGCGCTGGCATACAAAGTGGTATAATATTATTTTCTGCGCAGATTCGGTCGAATTGAGGTGTAAGGTGGCTACCATGGCCATCAAGAATTAATAGCCGGTATCGACCTCGTACGCGTGAATTTGTGTGTGGGATAAAGTGCTTTTGTAGCCAGCGAAGGCCTATCTCATCAGTAGTCCAGCCATTATTTAAGACCTCGATTCGCCAATCACTAGGCAGATTGGATTCAAACTAGCCAGCGATATACACCTTACCAGCGAATATCACACAGGGCGGTAGTGAATAACCATCAGCACATATAGCCTCAATAGCAGTCACCCATTCGCGGTTTCCAGGTTGTAAGATAGAGCGGCGACTGTAGTATTCAGCGCGAGTGACCACCTTTTGGGCTGATATTAGGCCCATAGCGAAGCCAGTCTCATCAAAGTTATAGATATCCGCTGCAAGGATACTATTCTCCTCTACCACGCGCCTCACGCTCTCAAACCACACGCGAAGCGACCGAGGATCTTCAGTTTGGGCACGTTGGTAATTATAGCGTCTTGAATAGCGTGATTGGAGCTCTTCACGGCGTTTCACAAAGGTTGAGATCCAATTGACGCCTACAGTAGGCGGGGGGGTTTGGCCACGCGCAGCAAGAAGGATATTAGCCATCTCTCGAATAGTAGAAGGCCTAGGCGCTGCGCCACGTGAATCCATAGAGAGAACCCATTCAACTAGCGAATCCTCTTCACATTGAGTTAATTTATAGAGGTGCCAGCGCTTATCAACGCGTGAGGTCATTCCAGCAGCGCGGTCCTGGAGGGTAGTCTTCGGCACATTATATAGCTGCGCTGCAGCGCGAAGAGATTTGATTTGGCCTTTTTGATAGGCCTGAAGGGCTAATTTAATCTTGCCCTCTTGCTCAGCAGATTTCTGACGAGATTCAGAGCGTTTGGGTGGCATGGTTGGTGGTTGAATTAGGTAGGTTGCTAGATACGCGTGATTTTCGTGGGGTGGCCGACTTAACCGTGTGGCCGAGATAGCCGTGAATTACGTTAGTAGTGAACGGCTAATAGATATAACGGCCTGGCCTTATATGTACGGCCGTGGTGCGGGTGAAGGTTGATCGAAGGATTAAGAAGACAGTTTGACGGATGGTGCCGGTGTAGACTATATAGAAGCTAGGTGCGTTCAATGATAGACTTTCTTCGCGCGGTTGCAAAATCATTGCCTGGGTTCTACACTCCTTGATTCTTTCTTGATCAGGGAGGTATTTCATACAGTGAATAGGCCCCCATTTAGGACCTGGGAACCGGTTTGCAACTGAGTATATTGTATGCCGCTAGGACGCAACCCGTCAGAAAGCTAGGAAAGCAACTCACAACAACAGCAGTCCAGCGAAGGTCATGTTGTGGGTCGCCATATGCTCTTATCATCAGAGACTCCG